GAATGAGAAGAGCCGAGTGCTAGCTGGTTCAAGGCCTTAATATTTCGGACCTACATGAAAGGAAGACCGCTTAATCCTTTAATGGTCTCTCAGCTCTTCTCATTCTGAATGACTTCAAACTCACTCACAGTATTTAGATTAATATCAGCTTGATTTCAATTACCAAGTTCATTTTTTTTTAAAGCAGATACATAGGACCAAGGATGGATTGTGCAGAAAGTTACCTTCCAGCCAAGACGTGGTTATCATGTATGATCCAATGACAAGAAAAAAAAACACTCTACTCTACAAAGAAACAGTAGGGCCTACGGGCAATAAACCCGTATGTTTTGTACAGAGTAATGCAGACACCTTTCTTTGGTCACAAAGTTCTCCTAAATGTATGCATTCATAAAACGGAAAATTCCACGTGAAGTATTATAACATTCACCCACTGAACACCTATCCCCTTTTCATTGATCCCATATCCGGGCTTTGGACTGTAAAATTCATTAACGACTTCGGCGTATCCGCACATTAGTATCCGACTCAATATCATCACTTTGTCACGTCAGCCAATTTCCGAACATGAAAGAGAAGAGTAGAACAGGGTGTTTTTCAGCAAGGCTTCTACATTACACTCAATTTTTTATTAGCATGTAATACCATTATTTACAGCCTTTACCGCGCCTCTTTCCGGAAATGAAATCGATTTTTTAGTTATATACGAACCTACGTCGCGCTAGTTCACGAATCTGCCTGGAAGACTGGGAAGCAACGGCAGCAGCCATGACGTTTAGTACTGATATATACTTTCAAGTATCTGTAATTTGACTGGTTGAGTTGCCATTGATTTATAGTGTCATTTACCTCAACGACACTCCGCTGCATGCAAATTGACTGCCACAGCACTATTTACTGCCCTTCAGTTTTACTTATTGCGGAGCTTGTGCAGTTATGACCAATTATTTATTCATGATTGTAGGATTGATCTTTACACTCGCTTCCTCTTAGGACAAATGCAATTCAAAATCTTTATTCTATAAAGCAATCGTGATTTGACCGAATATGGTATAAAGAGAAGAGCGTATTTGAAACTCCAAATTTTGCAGCTTACCGTCTTCATATGATATGTATTGAAAAATAAAACAAACTTCGTATGTTATTCTATCGTTAGGCTCCATTTTTCTATTTTTTCTCAGAAGAGGAGGAGGTAAAATAAAATATATATGGTTTTACTTAATACCCACCGGGAAAGCCATGAAAGCAATTCAAATCCCATTATAAAGATATATACAATAGCCTGCAAAATGGTGATTCCATTTTGAAGGAGCATGCTTAATGGTCTTTAGTATATCTAATCTGGAAAAAAAATCCATAGGTTCATCCGTGCGGTTTCACTAGTACTTTAAAACCTCAAATTATCCCTTATCTGATTTACACATTCTTCATATTCTAATTTGCTGATTATACTTTTCACCAAGGGAAATACGTTAAAAATAGATAGATTAGCTCTATACTTGAAAGTGCAGAGAAACTGCAAAAGGGTCATTAATGCCTCCTCTTCTGAACCTACACGTATCTTAATCAAATTGACGGCGGCATATGATGCCTAATAACGTTAAAGAACATGTACAGTGCAAGGTGTAGACGTTATCCGATCACATGCTTTCCAGGTTTTGAGATATCCCGCATCGGGCCAATGACAGTGCAGAGTACCATGTAGGAAAAAATTGAAAATGATAAATGATTGAATAGATAACGCATTTAAAAACTATTTACTTCAATGATGTCCATATAAAAAAATCCGGAATGTAGTAGAATTATTTTCGTTCACAGTGACATCATGTTACTTCAGAAAGTCACCAATGCATTTCTGATCCCCAAACACAACTGACATTGGATCATCAATTTTATCTTCCAGTGATAAAGTACATGTACGTTCCTCAAGAATTGGATTGACTGGATGGCCCTGATTGATGTGGACACGTCCAGTAGTAACAAGACATTGATTGACGTTCTGTAACGGTTGCGGGCTTTAAACCAGATGATTAGAACCTTGCTCCAGAGGGTTGTGTCCAGTTAATGTAGTATTGACCCAAGGCCGCCAGACTTTAAAGACGCTATGATTTTCTTATTGGAGCTTTAAAGAATGGGTTTTTGTTGTAGGTATGTGATATCTAGAGAGACTTCTATAGCGTTATACTGACTTCTTTACACGTGGAGTGAATTAAAATTGTCCTGCTTTGACACTCACTGCAATCTGTTTTAGATTGAAAATACAAGGGCAACCATTTGTGCGAGCGTGCGTGTGTGTGTGTGTGTGTGAGAGAGAGAGAGACAGAGAGAGAAAGAGAGATATGCAAGTACATTGTAGCTTTCCCTGAAACGTCAAGATTTTGCTGTCAGTTTAGAAAGTGCCGCATTTTCTGAAATCATTGCCAATAACATTAATCTTAGCTGAATTGATACATGTCATGCGGCCATTGGGGAGCCACTAGTTTTCATCTAGACTGACTTATTGCTATGGCATTTCGGGTTTCCGAAGATTGTATCGGTTCAGAGTGTTCATGTAAGAAAAGAGATGGCAGTTGGGTTATTGTTTCCTGGTCTGTGATAGACACAATAATATAACGAGAGATGCGCAATGAGTCAGAACTTAAATACCATTCTAGCTGTTTGTTCTGTTAAAATGACCTTTTCGCTATTATTGTTTTAACCAAATGCCTTCCCCAGACGAGACTCTCTCATAAAATACCGCAGCAAATTTATTCAGAAACCTTAATTAGCAGAAGACGCAATGATAATATTTCAGAGGTTGCAAACTGAAGTGTTTTATTATTAATTTGATGGTTTCAAGCCAATAAAAATGATATATATAGTGATATATAAACAGAAATCTTTGCTGTGGTTAACCGTAATTTGTAGACATCCATTACATTGCCTTCAATAGAGCTCGTTGTTTATACATGTACACGGAGAATATTGCAACACCTGCTTAAATCCCATATACAACAAGGTGAACCATAATCCAGGTGGAGCGGCCACCAAGAAATCTATTTCACGTTGAGGTGAATACACGTGCAATAGGCGGATCGCAACATATTGTGGGGATAGTTCTACTATATAGCGAGTTAAACTGTGTGTTTGTAGAGCTCATCAAAGCAATAGGCCTACCATCGGTTTACAGTAAGCCACAGCAAAGTGAGCGCTTGCTTCATCAGGTAATATCTTTTTCTATTGTATTTATGTGTATGGATGCTTACGGAAATAATTTAAAATATCATCATATGTAACAAGTTAATATGACATGTATCTATAGCCTCATTCTACTAGTACATGTAGCTTTGGGGATTTTAAGAACTGTTTTGAAAAACCTTGTAATTGAATTCGTTTCGAAAGCAAAAATCGAGGTATAAGTGTCACGTTGTCTGTTATTGATATAAACAATGTATGTTCTGAATGTTTTGAGTGTCTCTGCTCTAGGGTTTAATCAATTACGAACAGTGAAAGAACAAATGCAGCAACCTTTGTTTAGACATTAGCTTGACCTTCAATCCGTCCGAGCGACGACCTTCACCTTGTAGTGTGTATACATGTATTTACTAAGGCAATAACAATGTAACGTAGACCTACATATTTACTACTGTATTGAATATAGATTTTAATACCGGTCTAACATTGGGAAAAAAATATATCCCCATGCCTCCCGAGTTTTGGGGAAAATGAAGAAAAAAAAATGAGGAGGACTTCTGTGCAAGACTAGGTTCTCGAATAATGGATAATAGAAAATACTGCACCCACTCCAATCCCTTTCTCCCTTTAGTATGCCATCAATCCTACTTGGCACGGATGACTAAATAAGTTACATAGGGTCTATTGGCCACCGCGCAACGTGGTGTTTTAACGCCGGTAACCTCTTTTTTACTGCCGAAGTGATTTGCTGTTGGGTTGGCGCAGACGATACTAATTTAGTTCCTTAATACGTATTTGATTGCCCCACGGTAATCTTGGCAAATATCAAGGATTACTGGGAATCTTTATTCCCACTGACCCCAAAGGAAATATTTCCAGTGGCATGTACTTTGTATAGAGGGTTCTTGTCGTCAATAACTTGTGTTTAAAAAAAGAGAAACCCTGTGGTCTAAAAAGGCTTGTTTTATTGCAGATATGCCAACTGAATTAGTCGACTATTCTCTCAGGCTTCGCAAAAATAACAATACAAGCTAAAAACAGCAAAGTTGGAAATGATCAAATTACTTATGATTCACTGTGTATGCTTTATACTGAATAAAACATAAAGAGTACACGCTATTTCCAGTTTTTAAATAGGCATCAACGGCACAAAATAAACAAAGTTAATTATTTTGTGTATGTCATTGTCGTCTATATAAAGGCCCTATGCTTTTGGGAAGAATATCACAGCACGATTAATCATTTATAAGAATCTGCGAACAAATCATTTTAGAGACGCGAAAGGCATTTATAATACGTGGCATTGTTTCGTTCAGTTTGTTGTTTGGTATCCATCCAATGAAACCTCCAAAATGACAGTGATCAATACCATGGAAACAATTGAATTCAACTGGTTAGTATAAACCTGAGACTATGACGTCTAGAATAAAGACTCCTCTACTGGCAAATAAAAAATTAAACCAGCAAAATTAGCCAAGTTGGCGACTGCTTGCATATCAACGTTTTTTTTCTGACCATCATAAATGTGTAGACTATAAGAATGGTCTTATAACTACATGTATTACACCTCAGAGAGACATTCGGAAAATCGTCTGGGGCCCCGCTGGAACTTTGCCGTTCAACATCTTCAACATTTACCTGCGTCGAAGCAGCATGTGATATATTTCATTGTTAATGCTAGTGTCGTGCGTCGGCCTTAATGTAATAATTACCTAGCAAATCGAATCATCTTATGCAAGACATCGGTAAAAACATGCCTTTATTTACACTGTCTGTGTGTGAGTGAACATTGATTCCGTGGGAGGATGGTTACTTGGGGTGCTTTGTAACACATTAGCGTACATGATCAATGGAATCCTGTCATATTCGGCTTAAGTGGCCGGTATATCTAATAAGAAATCAAGTAAAGTTTTAACGGATCAGAGGACGAGAGAGGGATAATGACAAGTTGATGAGGCTGATAGGAGTGTGTTGAGTTTTCACCGCGAGAGAAGCAAACAATCAATCTTATGTCCAAGAGCAGAAACATCTCCCGGCTGATGATGTCAAGGAATCATCTGTAGTCATAAATAAGCAGAGATAATTCTGTGCCGAAACCTACATTAGTCTACAAAGATATATTCAGCATATATGCGTTGTCGATATTCAGCAACAGTCGGCATATAGCTAGTGTAGGCCTAAGCCACGTTGGCCTATGTATGAAAGAAGATACGGTGCTTTACGGTAAGTAGTTTGAGTAGTCCAACTGCTTGAAGGTAATGTGTAAGGCATTTTTTACCAACAACAAACAACATAGCATTTGCTGTGGTGATTACTNAGGCCTAAGTCACGTTGGCCTATGTATGAAAGAAGATACGGTGCTTTACGGTAAGTAGTTTGAGTAGTCCAACTGCTTGAAGGTAATGTGTAAGGCATTTTTTACCAACAACAAACAACATAGCATTTGCTGTGGTGATTACTGGATATGAGAACCATGGGCTAATCGGCTGACGTCGTTCTGCATATAGTAGACCAGAATAGTAAGAGAAAGGTTATGTCGAGCAGAGAGTACAGAAACTGGCTTTTTCACGCGAACGCGCTTGGCATTGGTATTGATATTGAGTGCAATTGGGTGATATAAAATAACATAGACTTTAATCTAAAATGAGCACTTATAAAAGATACTGTGTAATAAGGCCGTTTTGGGTTTTTTTTTGATTTGGGAACAACCCAGGCCACGCGGACTATACATACATACATAGGTTACATTCCATGCGTCAAAGAATAAGAAGGGTAATAAACCTTGTACAGAAAAAATATCTTGACCTGACGTTTGTATAAAGAAATAGATTGGCCCGGAATGATGTAGGCCCGCTTTATGCTTTTGGCCTTGTTTGACTGTAGGATGGGATATTCTATAGTGTAAATTCGCTGCAAAAATCCATACAAATAGTTTTATGAATTATAGATATCTTGCTTTAACTGTGCACACCTGGATATATTAACGATCTTCTGAATTACTAGGAAGCCATAGAAAATGATGTTCCATTAGGATTCCTGTACTGAGCTTTCAGTCACGATGTTATCTACTTTGCCATATTCTGTTTCAAAGTATAGCAGCCAAGTGTTTTACCTGGTGTTGCCCTGAAGAGTGTATTTTCATACCCAATGTATGTATGTGTGCCTGCAGGCGTTTGCGTGTGTCGTCCTACATAATATGAATCATGCACTAACTTACGCACACACGCGCGCAATTGTTCAGCAGCAACATAACTATTGCAGCAAACTGATAGTGATGTCATTCCGCCGACAAAAAAGAAAAAGGATCTGTGTCACATGTTTTAGGTTAACACAAAATCCGTAATCAGTTGATATCTGAAACTGTGTCTTGGAAGGTACATATCTGCAGGACAACATTCATCTGGATCAGCTTTGCAGATCGATATCAGTGCTATTCTTGGTGACTAGACTTGCTGTCAATTAGACTTGTCTATTTGAAACGAGACGAGAACATTTTTTTTTCTTATTTTATTTTCATTTTTTAATTTTTTGTAACTGTAGTGTGTGCTTGCGTTTGTGTGTGTATGTGTGTGCGTGCGTTAGAGACAGGTATATACAAACCCCCTCCCTTCCCCCCCCCCCACGATCTGCAATTGATAATTGTTATTAATGAGAAAAATACGTAGTTTGTCAAAGATGTCATAATTTGACCTTGAAATTCTGCGCAGTTTTCGTATACAGCTGTACAAGGCATACAGCTTTTCCTTACGCACTCATACATGGATCTACCGTACACGATGCCATTTGCATTGTGTGTGTCCTATTACTCCCAACCTTTTAAATATTTTTTAGAGTATGTTATTTACATTGAGGAAAGTTTCACATTTGTACCCATCATCTGCATGTATGCACTGGTCTGGCTAATGCCTACACGTTTCTTTTATCTGTTTCAAATTCAGCTGAAAGTGCGCATACAACATACTTGTAAAGATAATGAATAATATTTAATACTGGATCTTATGTTGAAACGGAGATCATGATGTTATGACTTAATCACAAGGTCTTCTTCGGGTGAAATGATACAGAATTAATTTTTTCATTTTCTTTGTATAATATAACTGGACGAATCAAAACTTTCACTTTGACACACATGTAGTGCGCAGGATTCGTAAAGCGGCTGTTAATTGAAGTATATTTAATTACTTTTATCTACAGTTAATTGTTTTGGATTCGTTAACACCACGATGTTCTATGATGCGGAATATCACGGATCAAATGGCGAATTGCTCTTAACGAGCCCTGGGTATAGCGCACGCTCTCCTGTTTCTGTTTGGCTGGTTTTTCTAACGATGAAAAGGCTGGGTGCAAATATTCAGTCTATCACCCTCTGTGTGTGACTAAAGTGAATTTCCGGTCGCTGTTTTACATTTAAAAAACCAATTATGCAAGAAATATCTTACATGGCTGATAACTTCTCCCCAGTGTATATTATGAAAGCTGTATGAACTCATTTGTTTAAGATGATACATAATTCCAGTGATGCCGAGGCAGTTTGCATGGATGTAGTCCTTCATAATGGAATCCTTCCTCCAAACATTTTATTTATTGTCTAATGTTACAGTTACGCCGTGCTGCAGGGTGCAAGACACAGGGAACATTGAGCGTTGGGTGGCATTTCTTACTGTATTGGATTGAACTATGCAGTCAATGCCACCTGGATATCAGCGACAGTTTCAACCAATCCACAGCTACAGCTTATCATTGATGACAGTGACGCACAATAACTGGCTATTACTGGAAGCATAGGGAACATGAGTGAAAAAAAACTATTTTTTATTTCACCGTGGAATGCTTTCTGACAACAGCATTTATGAAGGTGCAACGGGGAAGGAGAAGTCGATACTATTGACAATTCACAAACCCTTGAGGGTTCTCACATTTACCAAAACCACAGACTATTTCACGATGCGTTGTTCACGATTATGATATTGCCTCAGTGGTTGTTGCAGTTTGATGATGCTCTGTGAAATCGACAATTAGAGTTAGTTAAAACGATGGCTCGTAGCAACGCTCGTGCTTGACGATCTGTTCTTTGGAGAGCTGGGGATTAATACATACTGTACTTTAAACAATGTTTGTATTCCGAAAGCAGGACTCCTGCTAAGAGGACTGTGTTGCTGTTGGCATAATGATTTTGCAATGCACTTCCTCCAGGATTTGCTGATTCATTATTACCGAACGCAGAGAGCCGTAAAAGCCCACTCATCGCCAGATAAATACACGGCAGGGGTATATCTAGAACGCTAACATCAGGACGTACAGCTCCCGCTAAAAGGATGAAGGGAACCACGGGTGTATCAAAACCAGCGCAGGTAGTGCTCCTGCTCAAGAAAATATGGTTGCTTCAGAAGCGCAAACCCTGGGTGACGCTGTTTGAAATCGTCTTCCCTGTGTTCTTTGCGGCTGTTTTATTATTTCTTCGGATGGGGATTGCCATAGAAAAGAAGGAGAGCACGACCTACAATGGAACAATTCTGTCGGATTATGCATTTCCCGGCTCGGAGACGCATGAAACATTGATTATTGCTTATACGCCATACACGCGAAAAACAGAAGACATAATGAACAAAGTGACTCGGAAATTTGAACACGCTTTAAATATCACAGGTGAGAAGTCACAAACAGACGCGTTTCATACATGCTTGAGTTTCATAGGCCTTCACAAAAGCGACAACTGAAAATATGCTCAGCCACACTGTTTCTTTAAACATAGGTAATATAAAGCTAATTCAGTCACATTTTTTCGTTATCAAATATCATTGTCGATATTATGAATAATAGAAATAAGATTGATTGTCATTTTTTTGGTCAAATAATTCATTAGCGACACAAAATGCATTACTTAGGCAAATCTTCAAAAGATTCTGATCATCGCTCATAGTCTGCTATAGATTACAATAACTAGAGGATCCGTAATATTCACAAATTAAAAATTGGAATTAATGATTTTACAGCTATTCCTTTCAATTCTGAGGATGAAATGCTAGACTTTGTAACAAAACAGAACCGCACAAACTGCAGTATTCTCGGCGGAATTGCATTTCTCATGCTGACAAAAGAAGGGAAGTCGAACCAAAGCAAATTGTTCCCAGAAGTAATAAGTTACAAGATCCGTTTAAAGTCGACGGCAGACAAACCGTGGAAGACGACTGAGCGTTTTCCATTTGTCAATACTTTGAGACCGAGAGCCTCAGACTCGCCTCCAGGTGAGTATTTTAATGATGTCCTTACATTTCACACCACACCCTTAATATACACTTGTATTGCTTCAGCCTTACTAAGAATACTGTGTTCCTGCTAAATGTTATACAATAGATTTGCAATGCAGTCGAATACATTTTTCATTTTTTCTCTTTTTAATAACCAAAACCTTATTTCAGACTACTGGCAAACTGGTTTCATTACCCTGCAGTATGCGCTGGACATAAGTATCATAGAAGCAGTGCAAAAGAACGCTACTGCGTTTTTAACCAACCTGACAACAACCCTAAAACGCATGCCCCATGCTTTCTATTCCCATGACGTCTTTGTCAACATGATCGAATCTCGATTAGCGCTGTTCATCGTCTTCAGTTTATTATTCAACACGTTTCACATCACCAGAGCAGTGGTATACGAAAAAGAGAAATTGCTGAAGGTAAGGATAATTAAAATAATCAGCAATTATAATACAAATGGTTCATATCGAAAAATGTAGAGAAAATTACTAAGTTACTTGTAGAAGAGACGTGCCAGAAATACCATGCGATCAATCCCAAAGGAAAAGACTATTTAGACAGAGATATTAATTGCTAGACTGGATTCTTTGATCTAAGACTTATATCATATAGGTCGGATATTGCAATCTCTCCAGGTCAGTTTAATTAGATAAATATGACTTAATTGACCTGCTCTTAATTGCACATTCGCTCTGGAATTCATTGGCGTGTGTTTGATTCTAATTGCCACTCTCCCAGGATGACGGCAGATCGATTGAATAATTCCTTAGCTAAATCTCAGGCCTTTGTAGCAAAAAAAAAAAAGCATTCATATTTTTTAGAAATACGATTAGTTACAGGATTTTGAAAGAAAAAAATTTATCAATCTAGATATTTTCTACAATTTTAATTGCAATATATTCAGTTGGCTGTTTGTTACATTAATTATTAACTGAAGTTTAACGCACTTCGTATATATATATATGTACAAAGTATGAAGGCAGTATGAATACCTCGCATTTGTTATGTAATCTTATTATACGTGAATATGGGCTTTACTTTCAATCGATATATTTTCTTTAAATTATCCTCCATTTTAGGTCTGATCTATGATTTTATATGTCAAAGGCAGTTTGCCTACCTCGTGCATGGACTTGAGTTCCACATTATTCCATACACTGACTTTATTTGCAATGGGGATATTTACTCAGATCATTCTCCTTTGTAGGATTGCCTAAATATGGTGGGTGTCAGCTCTACCCTCCAGTGGCTCTCCTGGTTCATCAAGGATTTCGTCTATTACGCCATCATAATGGGTATATTGACTGCTCTCTTCAAGCTAGACGCAGGGGATGTTAGTATTCTGACCAAAACCTCCGGTATCTTAACTTACCTGCTGTTGGTACTGTATGGCATAGCAACCACCTGGTTTTGTTTTGCCGCCAGTGCTTTTTTTCAGAAAGGTAATGGACTTTTTAATGACATGCTTTACATGCGTGCTTATTTGTGCGCTCATATAATAACTGAGTTGCGCGATGTGGAAGGAACGTGTTTTGAATAATGCCTTACCTATCTTTCAGAACGCTGTTAGTACGCAGTCATTGTCAAGAGTGTCACAAGCGCTTAATGTGTTTGGGAACTGTATTAAGCGCAATAGTTTTATCAAATAATGCCAATTGGCACTTTGTGAAAAGTGCATTTAGACTAAGGTCTCTTATCATTTTCAGAATAAAACTTATTGTGGGATGTGAACTCGTTTGAGAACGTTTCGACCATTGTGGGATGTGAACTCGTTTGAGAACGTTTCGACCTAATTGAATTCTTATTGATATCGTAATGCTCCTTACTTTTATTACTGTTGCACCTGCTAGTAGCCTATATGCGTAGAAAGGATGATTATCAAAGCCTGTGTGACTGATGAAATTAGGAGAGTTCTGCACATCGGGTCCCATTTTAAGATTATAGAATATGAATTATAAAAATTTGCGTATTGATTTTATAATGGTATTTTCAGCCGATGTGGCCGCCATCATCACAAGCATTGTCTTCCTGCTGACCTATGTCCCGTACATCTATATTGAGCATGCTCGCAGTTATGACACCATGACGACAACTGAGAAGTTCGCTGCATGCTTGCTACCTAATATTGCTCTTGCCTTTGGAACCAAAATAATTGGATTGCACGAAGCAGCTGGTAAGAACTAAGGACACTTGTGACACTTTGAGTTTGTTGACCCCATATGGCTCAGGGCGTGCCCTGATATATGTATTTAAATGAAGTTTTATTGCCACATTTGCTTGTAAAGTGTAAAGTTCATATTATGCAAAGGAATATATTCATTTATTGTTTTCAAATTATTGTAGAGTTTTCAAATAGAAAATGAAAGACAAAAATACAAAACTTATCATAGTAATAAAATGCATTAGTACGAAAACAAAGAAGTAGACAAAATTAAGATCAAATACAAAGTATAGATGGAAAGAAGAAAGATATAACTGGCTTTAATCAGGAGATAATTTTTAGGCGAGGGTGCGGACTGGACGAATTTCTACAAGCCGGCGGTAGAAGATGACAATTTCACCCTCCTGCACGTGATGCTGATGTTCCTGGTGGATAGTTTGATCTTAATAGTGGTCACGTGGTACCTGGGTGAGGTCACACCAGGCCCCTACGGCAGGGCTCACCCTTGGTATTTCCCATTTACGGTACGTAGACCCAAAATTTTGTGACGTGTCAAACAATGATTTATGGCAGGGCCATGGCCTTAATTAGTTAATATATGGAATTATGTATGCAGTATTTTTCTTGGAAAAACCTTATTGACGACCTAAACTAATTTCTGGGCAATTTCCAAGGCAGGTCCCCAGGCTTGGGTCGATTTTCCGCTGAAATATCTCATCTTGCATAAATTTTTATTCCCATTACGCATAATCCAATAGAGTCGCGGTTGTTTAAAATGATCCTTTTGGATACCTCAGGGTATTGTCATAACTTCAGCGTGGTGAGTTGAAATGATTATGATTATGATTATGCTCCATGTCAATCCAGGTTACATATTGGCGAAGTGACCCAAGTGGCAAAGACAGTGCAAGAGCAACAGACTATATGATCACGGAGAAAGAGTCGCAATTCTTTGAAGATGTGGCTGAGGAACAAGTTCCAGAAATAGTCATAAAAAAGCTCACCAAGGTAGATGAGTCAAAATACCTTGCTTTTAAAGAAAGATGAGTTGTACTGAATTTACTAAGTTACGGAGTAATTTACTGTAACAACAACAAAAAAAACACAGTTAGTTAGACATTGTACCCCTACATGTATCTTTACGACAAAAGACAAAAGAATCATACTAAGCATTTTCCACAACTGATTTATGTAAATAGTTTTATTTCACTTTAATTGGGGTTTGAAGAAAAAAATTTCAAGCTGTATCTATATTGTACACATCAAATTTTTAAATGAAAATTTTTTCATCCCTGACTGGTTTTTATATTTATTATTTTAGAATTTTGGGAAGAAGGCGGCCCTTTCCGGAGTGAATATTACAATATACGCTAACGAAATCTTTGTACTGTATGGCAAAGCCAAGGCAGGGAAATCGATACTTCTTTCTATAATCACTGGTGAGTATGATCTTTTGCCGACAGGACTGCCAAAATTAATACTGCCAACAAGTGAATCTTAACGTTCTTAACTGGTACTGTTATACTATGAATTCTGCAGTAGTCAATACAGGCGTAAATGTTTTATTGACGTGAAATTACATGTATTTAAAATCAGCGTAAGAAGTATTATGCAAACTCTTCATAGGCATAGCTGAATGTTGCAAGATATGCAGTTCCACAGTTTATCAAACAGCAAAGCAATTGTATACGTCACTGCAAGAACACAGGTCCATGTTGAATTATTTATCAACCTAATATTACAAGTTCGGGCGTTAATGAAATATAAGTATGAAATTAATCCACTTATTTTATCCCCGTTGCAGGAAGAATGCAGCCAAGTTCTGGCAGTGCTATTTTCGAGAAATATGACGTCACAAAGAACATGAACGCCATACGTCCAAAGCTTGGCTTCTGTCCACAAAAGAACGTGTTGTTTGACGATATGACAGTATGGGAACACATGAAATTGTTTACCAAGGTCTCTCCCTCTCTCTCTCTCTCTCTCTCTCTCTCTCATACCTCCAGTAAATAGTATGCTCTTGATTACTTGAAATTATGTCCAATGAAAAGAGCTTAGTCTTTAACATCAAGTTCAGTCGCTGGTCTCTGGTATCATTACGAACTTTTCTTTAAAATCAGACATAAATTTTTTTTCGTTCAGTTAAAAGGATTACCAAAGAAACAGATAGTTGCCGAGGCAGAGAGATGGATGATTTTGCTCAATTTGGCACCAGAACGCAATACCAAGGCCAGCAAACTCCCCGATTCTCTGAAAAGGAGATTATGCATGGCTGTTGCTCTTCTTGGTGATAGCAAGGTATGATGCAGTGCTGGCAGCTGATGATATACACGAGACTCGCTAGAGATTTGATACAAGCGCCAGAAGCCGATAAGGGTTTTAATTAGCAAATAATGTAATTGTAGGCTATAGGGCCCGCGAGATTCTTAAAACGAATTTATGCATAAAACATGAAGCTTTCTACATAGAATTCGCACAGAGTACCTTTGCGATTTTAAAACACGGTTCTCTTTACCGTGATGTGGCAATTGGAAACGATTGTATCAAATTTATGATGTTTGGTACTGTACTTTGATAATTTCACTTCTAATGCCAGTGCTACTGTACATTTATTTTCCATCAATTACCTGAAAATCATGATTGCAGTTTTTAATATTGGACCACTTCACTACGGGTCTGGATCCGTGCGAAAGAAGAAAGGCCTGGGACGTCCTCAGAAGCGCCAAGCACGGCCGCACCATCATCATTGCCACTGACGATATTGAGGAGGCGGAGGCTCTGGGGGACAGAATCGCCTTCATGATGGGTGGGCGAGTCCGTTGTTGCGGAAGTGCAGACTTTATTAACAATTGTTATGGTTAGTTTGATGTCTGTACTAAATCCCTTTCATGCCATTAAAACTTGCCTGGTTTGGAGGAAATTATTGTTCCCTCCAGGACGTAGAACCTGGTGCACTATAAATCAAATTAGGAAATAGTATGCAATTGTATTCATACATGTAATCTTTAACGTGTTCCAAATCATGACCTATTTTGTTCCTTACTCAGAGGTCTCTTAAGTTGAATTTAATGTTCCAGGAATCGGTTACCAAATACAGGTCAGCAAAGACATCCAGTGTCGTATAGAAGATACGTCGTCGCTAATCAAATCACATGTTCCTAATTCGCATCTTAAGTGTGAGTCACCGACGCGGGCAACGTTTCTTATACCGAAAGATAATGGTAAATTTGAAGCATTGTTTCAAGACCTTGATGACCACAAACCTTCCTTAGGAGTTGGCACATATGATGTAGGGATGAACACAATGGAAGAAGTGTATGAGAGGTATAGGTCTTCCATCTCGAATTATGATCGTATGATGGTGAAGTTATGACCTGTTTTCCATTGGTCTTAAAGTTGTCTTGATTACATTTATATTCTCAACTGATGAGTAAATACTGACGGTGTTGTCAGTTGTTACTTTGTTTTTTTTTACGTCCGGTATTGTTATTATATTACTCATCAACAATTTCAACCACACAGTAAAGTTGCAAAAGAGAAGAGTTACAAACTGTTGACGTAAATATGAGGCTATATATTGTCAATTTTCTTTCTACCTGTTTCCCACGTAAATATTCCCAGGCTTGCCGAAGGTGGTCCTGATCTCTTCAAGTCTGACCCGTCCTACTCGTCCTATCTGTCCACGTCATCCCTGAAACCATCGGAACAGAATGACTCAGAACACGTTATTCTTGAAGGACACGAAAAAGAAGCCATTCCTCTTCAGGATCTTGGGAAACAGCCCTTGAGTAAGATATAATAAAAGCTTAGTTTTTGTGCAGTATTGTTATTGTATTGAATGCATTGTGCATGACAAATATCCATTATAATAAACACGTTCAATTAACGATATAACGGTATATGTAGGTCTACTGCAAAATTACTTCAACGAGTAAGAAAACATACTAGTAGTAGGAGTGTGTATGTAGAAATCATTTCATGCTAGCGTCGATTTATATTTTCATTTTCTATCCTTCGTAGATTTTGGATTTTTCACACATTTGACTAGAGTCGATGTACTTAAATCTACGCAACTTGCCTTTAAGACATACTATTATCACCTTTTTTAGCGTTAGTGCTTCCAGAAGGAAGCATACGTGAAAGTGGAACTGCACTCTTCGTTCAGCAAGTGGAAAGTCTCTTCATGAAGAGGTTTTTATATTCACAACGAAACCCTGTGTTCACAATTTGTCATATTCTGGTACCGTTATTGGTCCTTGCCATTGCACTCTCCGTACATGTGGTCAACAGGGACATCCACAACTACGAACCGTTAAACGTTGGCATGGAGACCATGAGCAAGCACGCCAAGGTTGTGGCCGTTGTTGCTCCCAACGCTACCACTGGTATAGACACTTTTGGTCATGTGTACTCAAGAGAGATCCAGGAACGCGGCATGAGCTTAGTGAACTTTAGCAGTTTCATGTTAGATTACACTGACCTTGACATTGACTCCGCCATTTTGCAAGAAGTCGAGCAAGTTGGCATCCCAGACTACAACAGACATTATATAGCAGGTGCAGCATTTGGTCTTGTTGGTAACACTACCTCTTACTCGAAAGAAATGGAAAAAGTGGAACTGGTAACGGCTTATTACGGGGGCGAAGCGTACCACAGCAGACCAATTTCCATTAACTTTCTGACAAATGCGTTACTAAGAACGATGTCACCCGAAAACCATTCTATCGAGGTGATCAATCACCCCCTGCCTCTATCTGTTGAGCAAAAATATCAAGAACAACTCGAAATTGCTTACACTGTTGCAGTGATCATAGTCTCCGGTATGGCTATATTCCTTGGCGTTCTCATAAGTCCGGTCGAGCAAGAAAACATCTCCGGTTTTAAGCATCTTCAGTTCATTAATGGCGCCCGACCTTTGACATTTTGGCTAGGAAACTTTTTGTGGGATCTGATCATCTATATGGGACTTTGCTTTCTGATGGTTTTGACAATCCTTGCCTTCCAAGTTGATGCATATTTTGCCGACTACCAACTCATCGGGCTATTGCTACTGATGCTCTTTCACGGCCTTGCTGTAATTCCGTTGATGTACTGCCTGTCACTGTCCGTGGAGACATCAGTCAGGGTAGTGGCAACGCTGGTCTTCCTCAATCTCATCGTAGGTTAGTCTATTGCTTTGTAATGTGAATTTGATGACCAATACTTTTCATTTAAAACGTCACATTTAAGGGCGCAGCTAGCGACGGGTCTGATTTTGTATGCTGACCTTTTAATCTCTTTTCAGTTGGGATATTTCTATTTATCCTAACGTTTAGCGTGTGGATACTATTTGTTTTAATAATTCAAATTATTCAGATTGGTTTCCTTTCAGGAATTGGCTCTTTAACAACTGTCATATTTTTGCGAACATCGGAGTCCGTTGACCAAAGATTGATCGGCGAGGTCTTGGATTGGCTCTTCCTGGCCCTGTTTCCACAGTACTGCCTAGGAGAAGGGCTTCTAGAACTTTACGTCAACTACAACATCAAACTAGATTGCCAAGACGTTTTACATATGGCTGATTTTGTATGCTGTCACGGTTTGTAGACAGCATTTACTTGAGTTTTATCTAACATTTCAGTATGGAATTTAGTACATATTATACAGCTACACAGTGATTCAAAACGGATTCATTTTAGGACTTTTTGATTTATATCTTTTTTCATGATCACATTCATTGTATATTTGTTACTGGGGAAACTTAAAGAGTTTGCGTTGTGAATGCCAAAGTTTGTTTTATCAGCAATTCCTGTATTGCGGCAATTATGTATGTAGGCCTACATGTACATCGTTGCAATACATAACCGGTGGCCGAAATTATGCTTATAGCCCGTTTTTCATTTGCATACTGACATCACGATCACTTTGTTACTACAGGTTTCTGTGACGATGCCTGCAAAGCCTACCATAGCAACCCCGTGAGTATATATGCACTAGGGATCGGACGGATCCTTGTCTTCCTCCTCATACAGGCTGCGTTCTACTTCGTCCTGCTGGCTCTTTCGGAGAGCGGCATGCTGTATCGCTTCTATAGAGGACTCTTCTCTTCCTCAGATAAAAACATATACCCTATGCTGTTTCGCGAACAGGACTTGAAAGTTTCCGTGCCGGAGGATAATGATGTCACGTTGGAGGAGCAACGGCTGACGGAAACTCCAGAGTATCAGCTGCGCCAAATGCAGGCGGTGTCACTACACAGGGTCTGTAAGGAGCACAACGAGTTTGTGTCCATAGACCACGTGAGTCTTAGCGTGCCCAAAGGTAAGATGATGCCAGTAAAAATGCATAGGTCTGTTCTAGATTAAATTATGGAACTATAGCCACGTTCAGTATCCCGTAAAGGTATCTGAGTTTGAGAATATCCAGGTACTGTAATGCGCTAGGACTCTGTTAAACACGCAGCTGACCAGATTAAAAAAAAAAAAAAAAAAAAAAAAAAAAAAAAAAAAAAAAACTGTTTGTTAGCATTTGATTCATTCTAACAAGTGCCACTTCGTATATTAATCTACAGGAATTCGTTAATAGGTGAAATATTTGGACTTATTGGCGCGCACGGGGCAGGGAAGTCCACTCTCCTGAAACTTATGACGGGTGCATTACGACCCTCAGCCGGAGACGTGTATCTAAGGGGACGCAATCTACGACGGTCTATTGGCAAAGTAAGCATGTTCAGTTTATCTCTGTAAAGACTGTATGCTATGCCAGTCATGCTAGCGTCTTTTATTCAGGGTGACCCCCCCCCCCCCAAAAAAAAAAAAATGAAAATTTTATTAAACCCTATAAATGTCCATCAAATTTCAAGAAAATTTGCTGGACTTAAACTTCAACATGTGTATAATCATTCCCAAAAGTTTCAATTATCTTGGTCGCTTTATATAAAAGTTATGTGTTATGGCCTTTTATATTTTTTTATAATTTGTTTGAATATATTTTCCAAATGATCAAAAAAGGTACCACAGCGCATCGGGTACTGTCCTCAAAACGACGTTGTTCCTGGTCATCTAACAGGCGGCGAGGTGTTGAAGCTATTAGGCCAGCTTTGGGGCATTGACAAAGAGCACATTACCAAAGTGATCGGCGCCATGGGAAGAACTCTGAACATTGAGGATTGCCTACATAAGAAGATATGCAAATACAGGTACTATATGAAGAAGATGTACTCCATAATGTCAACTTAATCTCGCAAATAACTTATTTTGATCGCCCCTTTACCTCTGGGTGTGCTACAAGTGCTTAGTTAAATATGTATTGCTAAAAATTGTGTCACACATGGGGATTGTACCATAAAACCATCCACCATACAAGTACACACATATAAAAACGTATTTCAGTTTATGCGCCAAACGAAAGCTGAGCGTCGCCATATCTCTTATGGGGGATTCGGAAGTGGTGTTTTTGGACGATCCTCTCTCGGGAATGGACGCAGATAGCCGTCAAAGAGTGTGGGCTATTCTACAAGAGATCCATGCCCGCGGGAGGACTATCGTAATATTCTCCAATAGGTAATTTGAAATATCGTGTTCAGCTGACCAAATCGATATTTGATTGTAAAAGATGTTTTCTTGTTTCATTTCATTTAAATTTTGTTAGAAAATAGGAACCTGAAAGCCTTATTTTATGGGCGAAATGTAGCTCCATTTTTTATGTTTAACGTTTGAGTATGAGAGTGAAGTAAGTATGGAATACTCTGATTGGATTGCTTTTTCCAACAGCATTGAAGAATGCGAGGCCCTGTGTACCAAAATGGCGATCATGATCAACGGAAGACTGGCATGTTTAGGCAGCATAGAGCACCTGCGCAACAAATTCTGCAACACGTACACAATTCTCGTACGAATCCGATACCCAAGCAAGGGAGGCAAACCCGAAGTGCAGCCGCTCATGGCCAGTTTGGAAGCTTCAATACCAGGAGCTGTATTAAAGAACGCTTACCAGGATGTTTTATACTACGTGGTCACGGACACTTCTATTCCTGTTGCCAAACTATTCTGCATCATGGAAAGATTGAGGGGCAGGTTTTGCATTGAAAGTTTTGTGATATATAAATCTAATTTACAGCAACTTTTCTTAAACTTTACACGTTCTCAGAAACCACCTCCAAATCTGGAAGAGGATATGGGAAAACAATTTAAGAAGTATTGTTGTCTTTTATGGTGATTTTTGCGCCTTTTTTTTACTTGGTGGTTTTCATTTATGCCGGCTAGCATACTATTCCCTTTTTACATTATTGAACGTCATGCTTATTATATGGACACACTGGAGTTACATTATTGGCACATTTACATGTACTGTACGTATATTATCCAGTGCGATTGGATTGTGTTTACTGTTTTCCTTCACATTTCATTGAGAAGTAATTTTATATGACCACAAATGCAACATTTGTTAATGTTTGGTTTTAATAAATATATTGAAAAGATTATCATAAAACAAAAGTGTCATGTAAACTTTCGCTTTTTATTACAAAAATTATATAAATCTCAATACATCACTTTTTAATGTAATGTAAAATTTGACTCTTGTTAGTGATCCCTTTGGTCTTCATTGTTAGTTGCCGGGACAAACATTCCTAGAGAAAATATAAATGATAAGTTTAGAATGAACGTTTTCACTCATGTCGACATACATTCTTTTCAAAATATGTTCTTTACATTAAAGCTATTTTTAGATTTATTAATATTTTAAAATTATGTTAAAAGTGGCACCTACCCCCATTGGACTAAGTTTGAATAGCTGTTGTTGCCATCACAAGTCATTGCACCTAGACAGTTTCCAAACCTTATTTGTTCTCCTTTCGCGTACATTTTTCCATCGAAATAGCATCCATCTGAAAGTTTCAAAAAGATGACTTTCAGGTTGTTTTTGATGACATTTGATCAGTAATTACGCAGGAGGTGTGTTAATAACGACAAACAACCAAGGGGATGAAAGGAATGAAAGTAGAGATTATGATACTCACCCATGCTTTCTCTCTTGCTATCTTTATTAGGGCAGACGTTCCTGTACACATGTAACAGTAACAGTATTAAAAAACAGTTTGCAAAACGTGAGATAAACATAAAAATGTTAACAAAAACGTTTTTTGAAACACAAGATAAATACATATAGAATATAATACAATTTTGTGAATCAAGTTGAATATATCAAAACAAAAGTTTGCTTCATTTAAATATGTTAAGGTCATCAAATATAATGAAATATAGATGGTAGCTACGGTATACTTTTCTAACGTGCTGCTATGATTAATATATACAGTAGAAGTTAACATTTGCATGTTAACAAGTTGATATACGGTGTATAAAAAAACACTTGATTCTCAATTCATTGTTTACAAATAAGCACATATACTTATCCACTGTAGAAGATATATGATTAAGAGGCATTTCTGATCTGTGACTAAACGTAACATCTTCACCCACCCCCACTGGACCAAGTTTGAATAACTATTGTCTCCATCGCACGTCATTGCGCCCAGGCAATTGCCGAAAACTATCTGCTCTCCCTTGGCATACTCTTTGCCATCAAACCAACAGCCATCTGGAATTTAAAGTTAAGTTACAAGTATTATGAAGATTGGGACCTGGTTAAATGTAACGACATAAATTATATTATAAAGTACATGCACGCCTGGGTGTTGTTTGAGATCAGAATGCCGAGTAGGAAAGAAATTCGTACTCACTTTTGTTCTCTCTTTTGCTGTCCTTTTCTGGGCAGATTCCACTGAAATAGATCATTCCAAGTCAATACTAATAATTACAACGAAGGAGTCGACCTGAAATGATATCCAGTCCGTTAAAAAATTCAGAAAAACTTTGGACTCATTAACCATTTACATAACTTTTACTTAATTTAAATATTTTCTGCATGTACATGTATGCGTATAAGTATGAAATATTGCAGAGTTTCATTGAAGAAAATTGACTTGCACCATCAGACCAAAATAAAACATTTGGCTTTAACTTACCCCCATTGGACCAGATTGGAGTAACTGTTGTCGCCATCACAAGTCATGGCACCCAAACAATTCCCAATTCTTATCTCTGCTCCCTTTGCGTATATTTTGCCGTCATATAAACAGCCGCCTGGATGTCAATTTCACATAATTAATGTTAGTACTCAAAGGCAGAGGTGGCGAAATGTTGGCATAAAATACTCCACCGAAATGAGTACTGAGCGCCTTTTCGAGTTAATTTGACACATTTTCATGTAAGTCATTTTATGCTCACCAATGCCAATATTACTTTCATTTTTAAACAGAATATTTCTTTAATTTTTCTCTAAATATTTCAAAATTAAAAGCAAATTATCGTCAGAATGGACCTTTCTTTTCCCACAACTTGTTGTCCCTACTACCGAAGAAGACAATAGTGCAGGTACTACTCACTTTGCCCATTGAGGGAAGCAGCTTCAGTTCCAACTACAGCTATAACTAACGCTACAACAAATGTGTTCATGTCGACTGTGGTTCTTTCTAAGAGAGATTGGTCTTTGACTGCCTAGTTTCCCAAGTAAGAGAGACAGATACGGCAGGCTAGCGGCTCTTATAAAGTCACCGTAAGCACGTGGTGTGACGTGCGGCGTTCCTACGTTAGGTAAGCGTGTTAAGCGTACAGAGGTTAAAACTGAAACTCACATGGAAATCCACGTGTTGAATCCTGAACGTCGACTTTCGTGTCAACTGTTCGAAATAAAGGCTGTTGCCGAATAAGAATGTATAGTTAAAAGAAGTCTTAGAATGCGGGGGTCACGTTGTATGGCTATGACGAAATTTATGAAGATAAGAAATTCAGGGCATTGCTGCCTAAAAAGGTTATCATTGTTACGTTGCCAAATGCCAAAACGTTACAAAATGAACACGTTATGTACATTTGAAATATTTGGCTTTTTTGTTTGTTCATATTTGTTAAAAAGTTATTTTAGCAGAGACAAGAAAAAATTAACTCCATTTTTAAAAGGCCCTTAGTTACGTAAATCGCCTTGATATATATAACGAAAATCACCATATTTATAGAACAGTTGTTGCGTTCTCATGAGGATGGTCCAGAAGGAATCTGATCATATCTGTATGCCACTAAAGATAATAAGTTACAACCATATGGTTACGTACCCATGACCTGAGTAGCCATAAGCTGGACATTTGATATTGTGGAAACCATTCAAATGCTGTTTTAGATGCGACTGACAAAATTGCGGTATGCAAAATTGCCAAATAAATAAATAAGTAAAAATTTAAAATATGGCAAAAAACACAGCCAATTGCTTATGCTTTATTTTATTTTGCCTTCTGTGTTGAGTGAATCAAATTAAAAGTGCGTGACGTTCATTATTCTGTTTTCATCAAAATGTTATTGGGTTCGTTCCGTATGTCCTGGCAACAAAGACTATAATATATATTTTAGGTAGGCACAGGCATATCATTCCCATATAAGAATTATCTCAATGTTTGTGTAACTATATATATATTGTCAACGATGATTAACTTTGAATATATATTGTATATATTTTGTACTGCAAATACAATCGTTTTTTGTTTTATTGATAAAATATGTATGAAAGGCATAACAATATTCGATTATTTCAGACTTTTATATATGTGTGATACAAGAAACGTCACCCTAGCTTCTTGATAATATATGTGAACCCTGAAGTATGTTTTGTGACACATGTAAAAGCGATACTGTGTGCGGAGAAATGTCTGTTAAGATTTACGGACACCTTCACAGAAACTACTGACATACATGTAGATTAAAAAGATGAAGAAGATTATATATGCTAATCCGACACCTCCCATCCAATCAAAACTTTTTAGAATTTGGAAAACTGTCGAATACTGAAAAATCATACTGATATTCTTAACTTTTCCTTAAGCAATTACTTTTGGACGGATAAACTTCGGAAGCGCTTCCTTTTAAAACCATTATAATGTTATGTTGGTTAAAATGAGGTTGTTGAATAGAATATGATTCCATGGGCCCATACTCATAGCATCTGCAGATTTAACCCTTGGAAATTCATTATTCATTACATTTAAAGATCTAATCTATGTCCACACAGATGACACGCACATATACATACATGTACGTCATAACCAAAGAGCAACGTATGACTTTCTTTGCTGAGTCACAGTATCTTAGATGGTAATGAATCATAAGGTGCAGTAAGTATTGACATGACATCAGTATAAAGTATTTAAATAGTCTACAAGTTTAAATTTAAGGTGGTAGACATTTGTCCCTCTCCGAGCAGAACACGTTCTCAGATTCCTCTGGCCCTGTCACTATCACCTCGGGGACAGATATCGTCGACTGTTTCCGTTTTCTCTCAACAAATGGCGACGGCGCGTCCAGTGACGACATCCGCTTATACGTCATCTTGGGATCAGTGAGAGAGAGTACTGAGGAATTATTTGGCTGTATAGAGGGGATGTCTACGGAGTACATACGGCTTAACACTGGGGACCTGCGCTCAATTGGCGACGGTAAGCCAAGGGACTGTGATGGAGAGGTATTCCCGCTACCCGCCCCCATTGAGGATACACTGGACCGTGGTGAAATGTTTGCCAAACCCATGGGGAATTCAAACTTCATACTCTGCGCTGCTTCAACAAGGCCCTTTCTGATGTCAGGTCCCACGGGACTTGCAGTCTGTAGTTTCGCCAGCTGGCGTTTCTTAATGAACATTTTCAGTTCTTTCTCCTCGTCGGCGTTGTCCAAAGCCCTGTTACCTTTCATCAGTTTTACCATGACAAGCACCAACGCAAGCGCATAAAATGCAACAACAATAACTATATATGTCATGGCGCCTTCTGGGTCTAGTTCGCCCTTGCTGTTCGCCTTGCTGTTTACCATGTTCCACACTTTACCAGTATTACATGACCTTTGAACTAAACACGAGCAGTTTAATGGTAACAACAGCCCTGTGTCCCTCAGCACCAACGTATTGTTCCTGCACTGAAAATCACCTTTTATGATCAAACTGGACATGGTGAACCACACGTACACATATGTCCCCCACGCACAAGAAAAAGACGGTCAATTTTGCAAAGATTTCTTCGGATGCCCTACACGGAATTTGGATTCCAGATAGGTGTCCTAAATCACTGAAAAATTATAGAGGAACAGAATTAATAGTCAATTGTTTTTTTATATATAATACTTTCACCTCAAAAAGATCGAAATTTCTGTTTACAATTATGGACGAAAATTCTATTTTAAGAAACCACCAGAGAACAAAAGATCTACCACCAACCAGTTAAATGGTAATCTTAGCTTGTCGATTTCGTTTATAATAAACTGAGGACAACGCAAATTTGAAGATATTGAGTTCAATATATGGGGCTTGATTTAGTTCAAAGGCATTTATCGATATCCGATCGACCACGTTAAGAATACATACCTATAGTGGTCGATTAACAATACCTTTTTGATGTGTGCGGCAACCCTTTCGTGTTTCTAAAAAATATTCGAAACCGCACAACACACTCAATTTCGGCGGCGAAAAAACACCCCTCTTATCTTTACGTTGAATACTAAAATTACACATCCACTCTCCACGCCCCACCCCTTACAGCCCATCAACTAAAATACAGAGTATGCAATAATCGAAACGCTGTAGATGTTAGTCATACCAGCAAGACGGAACCCTTTTGACTCCTTAGTCAGTGACGTTTGACACGCATAGTACAGCTTATCGTTCCAGATGTAATCGAGGTGTGTGTTAATTATTAACCATTGATTAACCCGAGATCAACGCAGATGATCACAACCTCTCGGCAGCTATTGCACAAATTATGTTAAATGATGTAATGTTCATTGGGTTGACCCCAACCTTTTTGTCAAAATTAACCTTAAAGCATGAGTTAATATGGGACAATATTACAAAACTAGGGTTGTATTTTAGTAGGCAACTGATTCTAATATTGTTGTTGCTACGCCTCTTAAAACCGCAATTATAAAAAAAAAATACAAATTCAACAAACGCTAATTATCAACTAACATGTTATTAATAAAACGCCCATTTCTTAATTTTAATTTGAAAACTGAAATTAAAATCTTCATTTACTGATGACATGAAACGTCCCAAAGCAATCACATGAACGGGTTATGAATAGTTAACTGCAACACAGCTATTTACTTCTTTGGATTAAATAAAAAGAAAAGCGATATAGAAATACAACCTTCTAATAAAATAACACCAGGCTTTCACAGCCGACAAGGGGCAACGGCCAACCAATTTTACTTACCACAGACGCTTCGTTTTCCGTCAGACGCCAGGAGTAACCTGTAGCTATTGCAGGTGTGTCGTAGTGGCTTTGCGTGATCTCCCCAAATACGAACCTCCCTTTTTCATGCATTTTGCACACCTGGCGACTCCTCTTATTGATATTTTTCCACTTAATCACCGTGTTTGGCTATAAAATCAATGCTCACCCCAGTCAGAGCTAACACTCTCCGCAAGGAAGTTTCACTTTCGGAACATGTAAAAATTTGCATTTCAGTCCAACACGAGACTAAGGACTTTTTTCTGTCGGGAGAACATTCCATACACGTGTAGAGACAAAGGAAGCTTATTCCCAACTGTTCCACTTAATAATGTTTAAAAATAATTATTTTGAGTAAATGATATAATTGATCATCGATTTCTGCAGAATTCAATAAACCATTACAAAAGAGAAGTACCATCCGATCGATATGATCTCACAGGAAAAAATCTACCACGAATCTTCACTCGTGGTACCCACCATAATACCCCCTTTTAAGGATTTTTTCCAACCGTGATTTTCTCTGCGGGGAATCGGATTTCTGTGCCTGAATAAAAACTGTCTTGGGATGGAAAGAAAACGCAAAGTTGATGAACACCTAACATCGTACTCATGAAAGCACATGCCTGTCAGTGCCAGAGGAACGCCACTTTGTGGATTCAGAAGCCATTTCAAACTCTACACCAAGTTTGTATATAGACGAGTGTGTATAACTGCGGTGAGACATGCTACTTCAACCCACCCATCCCATCATCAACTCCCTCATTTGTGGCACTATATTCTGCCCGACTCTCACCACACATACACCAGGTGAGCGCACCATTCCTGTTTTGGCTTTGTTAAATGAATTTCGCTCTTTCACAAACAATTGCTAAACAGTCTATATCGCTTATCCTATATCGTAAGGATAAGCGTTCTTCTAAATACCAAGAGTGTATTTTTTAATTTCTTTGTATTTCTGTATATGTACGTTTATACTTGAATCATTTGGTAAGTGAAGTGTCCATCACAGACATTGACTTGTACTCCTGGCAGCCACGTACATGTATAATGTGTAAATTCCTCAGTAATGTCTTACTTGCGTGTTAACTACTTTTTTCTGTAGCAGACTCAACGACTCAAGGTGTGAAACCAACAGTAGAACTTACAATGAATTGCCAAATTACTTCTTTCACCACCATGAATAATTCACTAGATTGCAACAATAGGTGAGGGAGGCAGACGAAAAATATAATGCACGCGATCAGACCTTCTCGCTCTCTCTCCGTCTCACTATAGAATGGATTCCGTTCTGATGTTACTGATCATGCGTTTTGATTTTACCAATGACCTTTTCATTTATGTGAATGAATGCACCCTGAGCATATCTGATGAAACAGGCACATTGACCCCTCCCTTCTCTCACCCCCCCTCTCCCACCTCTGGGTTGGACTTTTTGTTTAGAAATTTGATATTAAAAGACGTGGTTGAATAAGCATATCCACAGAGTTTATCATCAAAAAAAATAAAAAATAAAAAAATAACAGGCATTGAAAATATTATACATAAAGATAGATTTTTTATTTCTTTGCACACATGTCGAAGAGGACGGCATTCTTTTCTGTAAAAAATATAATATTATAAATTTGAAACTCTGGCTTATGTACATTTTCTCCTGAAAAAAAAAAAACAAATATCTACATTATATATGCAAAAATGGAAAGTGCTGTACATAATATCTTCATAGAAAATCAATTTTAGTCAATACCCCACATACAGCTAGAATATTTGTTTTAACTTCATCTCTAAATATAGGTACTTATATATATATAGGCCTACATACATCTATAGGCCCTATCAAAGAGCATATTCATCCTGTTCCTACTGAAAAACATTTCTTTCTTTTAATATCTACATGCAGTATATCTCGTGAAAATGAAAACAGGATTTTAAATGATGTATGCTCAGGCCGGCCTCAACAGTTCCCCCTATATCTACCCTGAACTACAGAGATATCTTGAAACTTACCTCTACACTAAATCATACCCTTATTGTTTCAGAAAACTTGTAACGGCAAGGATATTATATAGTTTAGAGATAAGTTTCAAGCTTATCTCTGAGGCTCAGAGTGCCTATACCCCGGTAATAGCATATACATATTGATTGATAATTTTTTTAAATAACAATTATATACAACGTTATGCGCTCAACGCCGTAATACTGTACAATTGGGAAGACTAGTTGAAATATTTACATCCTAGAATTCAAAAATTATGTGGTGGGCATATTTTCTTTGTATATTAAATTGGTAAACAAAATATAATAAAAAATAAAACAGCCATGAAGAAACGAGATCAAAAACGTTTCACATCCTTGTAAACAGTTTCACTAGTCACAAATTACAACCATTCATAAGTCTACAGTCTAATTTTCATTTTGGTTTTCATTTTAATATTTTTCCTGATTGTCTAGTTTCTATGCGCGTTAGGCGGCGGGCGCTTCCCGCTGAAGTACGGAGGGGGCGAGTGTCCTGGTACTGAGAACTGATTACTATGAGGAGCCACCCCTTTCTTTTTGTTGTTAGATCTCGTGTTCCATGCAGGAGAAGGATCCCATGGTTCCTCGGAATCATCGGAATCTAATTCCGACAGTTCCGTGCCGTCTGTGGTGGAAGTCGTAGCAGACGTCACACGCTCACTTGACACATTCACTTTCTGCATTACGTGAAGCGTTGCTGCCACGTTGCTCGCGGCCATGATAGCGGCTAACTAAAACAAAACATTTTCTTTATATATAAATGGGAATCAAGTAGGAAAATTGAGAAAAAAAGGACCATTAAAATGTCAAATTGGTGGTAATTATTTTAGAATTTTTCAAAATGATGCGAGTTATGTGACGGAACAGCAATATTTTTAAATATGTTTTATTTAAAACATTTCACTTTATGTATTGGAACAATAAATAAAAAACCGTATATGACGCACAGAGGCTTAAATCCAAGAAAAAATAGAAGAATGAAGTCAATAAACAAAGCATCTTTAACGTTTAATTACTAAACCATCTACAAACATATTATTGTACGTTCTCACTGTATGGTAATCTTAGATCTAGCACTTTTGTGCGCGTGGAAGTGAAAATAAAAAAATCGTCAGTGGCAAATGAAGGCAACACCACCAGTGAAATGTTACAATGTACTTGCGAAAAAAAAAACACGTTTCTACTGGCCGACAAATGTGGCTTGTAACGCAAACAGAAAAAAAAGTTGCATAGATAGGCCTAATCAACAGCGGTTAACTTACTTCTAGTAAACCCAGAACGCCAAGTATACAAGCCCATACGACCCTGTTATTATTCAGCCACTGCAAGATGTTTTCTCCGCATCCTGTCTTGTAGAGTTGACTGGGGTCCACACTAGATGGCGTTGTAGTAGATGAGGTGGTGTTGACACAGCTGGAATCGACATTAAGTTGCCCATTGCTGTTATATTCTTCTGTTCCGTTGAAACCACAGCATTTTAGCTGAAATTTCAATCAACAAAACATGAACATATGTTACAATACATTAAGTGCTTGTCCACTGACTTTTAGTGTTACGTCGATTATTTAAAAATAAAAGTCATAGGGATGTGAACTGAGATGTTTGTGCTACTGTACATGTAATGATATGAATATTCACGATAAATATTAACATTATACGTACATCTCTCTGGACAAGGTTTTTGGTTTCTTGATTCAGTCCATTCCAAATGGATGCAATGAATGTTGAAATCTGAAATCATATTGCGTATTAAAGCCGCTTAACTTTCATGGCATCATTTCAGTATTCTTAACACATCATTGAACATGAAATTATGGTTAACACATTCACATTATTTTTGAAACTGTGTTACACCAAAAGTAATTTAAAGAATGCATAAACGGCAGTAACATTAAATTGTACGATACATATTCATCGATCCTTTACTCGGCGCCTAGCTGAGACCTTTGCATAACGGCGTGTAACTCGCCAAGAAATATATATACAGTAAATTATATATGTACTCTGGTAGTACCGCAGTTTTTCCAACATGTGGAATTGAGGTTTCATTATAAATGATGAGATAGCTGATTTACAAATTACATACCTTGTCCTTTTCTATATAAACGTACATGACGGCGCCGACTTCAAGGAAAATGAGAACGATAAGCAAACCAATGAACTGGAAGTAGAAAACGTCATTACTATCAAATTGTAAAGGGTTGCAATAATTAATTAATTAATTAATTAAAAACAAAAGGATCGAGGAGCACAAGACAGTCTCATCAAAAGTTTATATAATTAAATTGATAAAGAATACCAAATACGCAGTCTGAAGGCTAAACTGTTTTAAAATACATGTAGTGTATACTAATACACGAGGGATGCGAGTGAAAATTTATACTTACCCATTTAATTGAACAAGTGCTTTCTTTAAGTGCCCCTATACAGCCCACTGTGCCTAGAATAGAACGAACAGTAAGAAAATGTTTCAAACTGGAAATTGAAAATAATCAAGCGATTACTTGAATTATACCAAAATAACAAAATAAAAAACGTGTTTCAGGATTACAGCAAAGACTATAAAGTGAGGCACAATACAAACTATACATGTAAGTAAATAAATATTTTAATATTTTAAAACTGTTAAATATGTTAAAACTGTACTTACCGATTATAAAGATTAGAACTCCCAGTGCTATCAGCGTGTACGTAAAAACCTAGAGGAGGACAATAAATAAGTCATTGTTCTGTTTCTCTCTGTATAATCAAAGTCGTAATGGCTTAATGAGTTTATTGAACACAACTTTTTAGGCGACACAATATGAAGAGAGCCTATGCATAGACTATAACTGCAAACTATCGAAATGGGTAGAAAAGGGAATTATCTTGATTTTGGTTTAACATTTATTTCTTACTCATCTGAGTGAAATATGTGTTACATGCATATAAGTTAAGTGACATGTAATCAGACGTAAACAGTAGACAAAATAACGACAACGGTAACTGAACAGAAGGTACATAGAAGAGGTACATGTAAGTAAAATATGCGAAAGTGAGACTATTAAAAGAGGGTTTTGTAATGTAATTTTAATTGTAATTAAACAAAACATTTTTATTTGAAAATTGCTTTAGGTTACGTCCAGGAATGTGTTTTGTTTTGAGTATTAGCAAGGAGGTGATTGCCATCATAGGGCCTATACATCCTTGCCATTGGTAACATTAAGTTTAAACATGGCTTAATTCGGAGTGGTTGAGCTGAAATCCAAGTGTTGACTGATCTGTGACAGAAAATTTGTTATAGCATTTTGAAACGATGCGTTAAGTATCATTTTGAAAGCTAATGTCTACACTACCGGGGTATAGCCAACCAAAATAATACGAAAAATAATCCTCTTGAATCTTAAACCGCTATCGAAACGACTTTTTATGTCAATTCCAAACCTTATCAACCAAAGAAACACAGGCATGACCTTACATCGTCTTTGAAGTGTAACACAGGTTGCATTTATCTTATAAAACAAGTTTGCAAAGGGGTAAATTCTGTAATAATCCTTATCTCTCCGTCAGTAAGGGGCACTTGTATACCTGTGACACCGGCACGCTCCAACACGTTTTCAATATAAACAACACCTTGGCAAAACTAATTCTAAACTGTTGAGTTGAAATTCTCATGCCAACAAATTTTATATCCTGATCAATAAAGCCTGCTTCGTGGTGTCCAATTTCGTAACTATTCTGACTTGTGTCAAATCTATGAATGACAATTAAAGTAAAATGTATTCTCTTTTTTAACTCGTCTTCGGCTATAGGAAAGTGGGGCGGGTAAGAGACTTTCTATTAATGTGAGTTGTAGTACGGGGGATACTTACCAAAGACCCCGACATAAAACTTGTCAAGATGGATCCGGTTGTCGCCATAGCCCAGGCGACATAAGCTATAGCACCAATACCGATCACCTGCAGGAGAAATTGAACACCGTTAGTGCAAAGTTAGAATCTATTTATATACGGCTGTTTTTCATTATTCGACAGGCAACGTGCAGTCGCTTATCGTGTAATAGCTCCATAGTTACAATTTGACAGAAATTTTCAAAGATGTTTATTTATACACGTATATGTTACATCCATTCATAAGGATAGCCCAAAGTTCTATAGAATAGATATGTACATATGAAAGGGACTTTTCTTTGCCAATAAAAGCATTCTTCTTTGCCAAATCAACAGTTAACCATTGGGAATACATATACAAACTAAAGTGAGAGAGAAGAGACGAGAGCCAAGCAGTTGCCATTGTGAATTCTGCTCATGGCAGGCTGCCAGGGAAATATTCTAGTAAATTTGGAGAGTCGCATACATATATTTCCTACATACTCTGTAGATGTGAAAGATAAAAGCTTGTCCAAACTAAACCGGAATGTCTAATTCTCCTTTTTACACCAGGTGATCATGTAAGTAGACCTGTATATATCACGTAACGCGTTCAAATGCACCGAGAGCCGTCACTTACCCACAGCAGAGAATTGACGAAAATCAGCAGGTATTTCATACACCCCACTTTCGCCGCCATGTTTTCTCTAACAGGTCCACCTTGTAAGCGATCACGACCTTATTGCTTATCTATCGTCTTCAAGATAATTCTGCTTTCCAGGATGGTTAATTAACGATTTTGATCGGATCGACCAACTATATTTTTGGTGCGGCAGCCATTTTGCCTCTTCGTTTACCTGTGGATGTATAAAGGGTCTAAATCACAAAAGCAAATTTACCTGGGCATTAAAAGCACGCATTACAAAGGAGATTGACGGTTAGGCTGAAAAGGTTGTTAACATTGGGCTAATAGAACTGTGGTGTTCCCTTTCCCACATTTAGAGTCAGGCTGTTTGCTGCTTAGTCTCCCATAAATATTTACTTGGAGAATAATGGTTTGGATCAGTGATGATTTTGACCTTTCTTCTTAATCTAGAATTGAACATTCCGTTTCTTCTTGTTCTTCTACCGGTGTAAACAGTGTGGCTAAATTTTCACTGAAGGACTGATAAGCATCACATTGTTATTATATTTGAAGAATTTTAAAAATATATCCAAACTGGTGTGTTTTAGCAGTGAAATATAATAAAATTTTAACTGTGGATCAAATTTAATTTTAAAAATTCATCTTTTAAAGGCCCAAAAGGTTAACTGTTTTAGACAGAAATTATGACATTATTGGACTCTAAAAAAGAAGTAATGGATTTGTTTTTCATGGAATATCACAATCTTGGTACAACCTTTTTACTTTGCCCGACGTTTTATAGATATGTTGTATTTGATGCATGAAATCGGGCATGTAGCAGCCTTTGCGCCCTGGTGGGGAGAAGCGACTTCCTACAAAAAACAGCAGCGCTTAGGCAATCCTAACAGAGGCCCTTGTTTTGTTGAAAACTATTTTTGTGTCAATATTTCACTACAAAAATAGAGAAATACCTTTGTGAAAGAGTAAAAAAATGTAAAACAAGACCTAGTCTAACCTCTTCTCAAGCACGGGCACACCGCCACGAACTTGCATGATAGTAGTACGTGGAAAGATACAATTTATTTATATACTCAGTTTTGCCAATATAATGTTTCGATCACCTGATCGGTATGTTCACACATAGATGTAATTCTCTTTTGCATTATCACTGGACTTCTTCAGGCGTTTCATCCTGTAACAATGCAATGAACCATCCTCATGACGACACAAGTTACCAAAACCACAAATCACAAATATCTTAATTAGGTTTATTTACTACGTTTATAGCCCTCTAATCTCTTGTTGTTAAGTGCTAAACAAGCAATAGTTGAGTGTGACACTTTAAATTGTGAAAGCATGTATTTGTCACTATGTGAAAATTTTATTTGGGCAAATACGACGACTGATTAACCAGGCAATTAATTAGTAAACAAATAAGACAGCATGTTATGGAGTGTGATACATCGACTAATCTGTTTACTATGGTGACATTCGTGTTATGATCCCATTGTTACAAAGGGGATATACTTGCCTTTTCCAAAACCCATGGTCAAAACGACTGATAATCGAGCACAGAGAAAGACAGGAAACAGTTTGAATCGAGAGACAAAACACAATATGAATCTTAAACGCGTCCTGGGATTCCTCTTCGTACATGTATGCTTCTTCATGACTCGTAAGTAAACATTTTTTCAGGTTTAAGAGGTTAGTTTAAAGGTATTTCACGTTAAAACAATTTTTTCGAGAAAAATGTAATTTTTCTACTCATTTCCCAATTTTCCCGCTTTTATTCAGTGCACTGCATCATTTCTAATTAAATAACTTTGTTCTTAACGAATCGTGATTAATTCTGACGAAAAAAGTTATGATTTTGGGACACTTTCAAGGGCGCATAGCATACACTTATCTTAAAATACGCTTGAAATTTTGGTATTTATTAAATATATTTTTGCTGAGCCAGTAGAAACAATAAACTTCGACCTTACATTTCCAAAGGAAAGTGTATAAATAACTTTTTCCTTCAAGTTGCACACTGGGTCAAAATTGTTACTTATCGTCGTGTCTGTTTCCAGTATGTAACGCCATTCAAATCGACCAGGCTCCTCAAAACTCAACAGTTTTGGTCGGGGATAACGTAACTCTTGGGTGTCAAATATCGGGAAAAGGAAGTTCCGACAGAGTGTACTGGAGGAGGGTACGTTTCATTCATAATTCTGCCTTGAAATGTTGCTTTTTTTTTTTTTTTTTTTTTTTTTTGTAGTTTTAACTGCCACAAGAACTCATTACTTATCAACGTTTTCAAGAGCTTTATTTTTTCAAGCCGCAGTTATGATAACATGCACATGGGATCCATTTGCAGGCCAACTTGCATAAATTATCAACATAATCCCATATACCTTGTGAAACTGCTTAATTTATCTAAAAACAAATTCATAAGTTATCCGTAATTCACTTATTTTTCAAGAGATATAGAATATCCATATCAATATGTTAGCGCCACATTTCTATTTCAGTGTTCTATTAACAGTCTCCAGTGCGACAAGGCGTCATCCACCCTCATTAGCTTGGACTCTGTCTCTGTCTTGGACGCTAATAAGTACTCGGTCGTCGGAACTTACAACATCACCATATATAATGTCAGTGTTGCAGAGGAAGGGCTGTACCAGTGTGAGACAGAGGTCTCCAGCGCAATCACAGCCACAGCAGCAGCCCATTTGAATGTGATAGGTGAGGATTTGTTCGTTTGAGTGTGGTAGATGAGATAGATTATATGTAAATGTAAATGTGATTATTATCATTTATTAAGGGATGCGAGGGATAGCAAGGAGACATGCCAGCTAGTTTTGGATGTTATGTAAATATGCAAAACACGCACAGCTGTGGCTCTTTTTTTATACACCATATGTCTATAACAGCAGGTTTAAAATTTTTTCAAAAGATGGCACGTCCATTATTTGTTATATTATTTATTTTCATTTCTATATGATTTTTTACAGCTATGCCAACTAATCTGACGGCGTATTGGTCGTTACCGTCTCCACTGAAGGAAAACGTTGCCGTCAATGCTACGTGTGTATCTGTGAACAGTAGGCCGCCGGCCACTCTACGGTGGTACAGGGGCACCACAGATATCACGGCTCAAGCCACAACCATAACATCAAACGCTACGCAGAATAATGGTAAGCCGTGTTCTTTTTTATCCTCTTGCTTGAAACGCACTTCTTTTCCTAGTGAAAATAGTACTTCCATACAATAAGAGGACACATGCAGGTGTATATTTTCTCAAAAATAAAACTTGATATAAAAAAACTTGATATATATACATAACACACTTGCCAACTGTTTGCTTAAAAGTAAACATTTCCCTCAAATATATATATATATATATATATATATATATATATATATATATATATATATATATATATATATATACTGTAGGTAAATATGTTTCAAATGTTAAATGTAAATTCTAGGCTATGGTGACACCACCAGTTATATCAGTATAACCCCAGTGGTCGCCAACCATGGACAGACGTACAGGTGTATAGCCACTCTGTCTACCAATGTGACAAATGAGACAACACTGGTGGAGAGTCTGGGTAAGTTCATGGTGACTGCCACACAGGTTATCCGTTAAACAGTTAGGGGCTAAGTTGACAATTCGTATCGGACTGTATCTTGATTTGGGGTTTGGGGTTTAGGAGAGGGGAAATGAGGCATCACATCGTAAGTTTTTTAAACTACATGTACGAGTACATATTAAATATAACGAAAGGTACATGTAAATAGAGAAGTGCTGTTTTTTTCCACCGAAAATATTAATTAAGTTATTCATTTATCTGAATACATTTATCGGCTCAGGTTTACTTATTCTCAAATATCACCAGTTTGAGCGCTGCTTTATGGTTGCGCACCGATTCATTTCCTTTTTTTATTTTAGAAAACGGAGCCGGTCACAATACCTTTGTAATGCTTTTGATGGTGTTTCCCACTGTCTTGGCTTTTCTTCTTCGAGGTTAGATGCCACCTATTGCAGAGCATGGAGGAGGGAGTGTATTTTGCTGGTTAATGTATAAAGCACCATATATTTTTTAAAGATATTTAACATAAAATCTTTTATGCAGTACAAAAATTTTAAGATGAAAAACACAGAAAGTGAATTAAAACCCATGGAATTTAAGAGAGGAAAATTCCCCATGAATCTCTGGAGTTTCAAAGACGGTTCGATTCTCTATTCTGTCTGGTGAAGCCGGGTACTATACAAGGGATTGTGGCAATTAAAATAATTCAAGTATCATATGGAAGAAAAGAATGCTAAAATTCTTCTACTTTACTTTCATGGTATTAGCAACAAAGATTCTGGAGATTAATTACCGGCTATAGTTTAAAGAGCAATAAAAGTTTATATAACAGGATTTAACTTTAACTTATACAAACAATAGTTTAAAGAGACACAAGCTAATAAGGTGTAACAATATTTAATTTAATCTTGTCCAAACTTGATAAAGTGTGTTAATTTTATGTCTTGCATGTTTGTTCGATGTAGCCGACCGTACCACGTAGCGTCTCCATGACGGCTAGCAAGTGTTGATTTTTGTGGTTTTCCTGCTTATTAAGTTCGGGGCACCAAACACATGAAGCACTTGCCAAGCTTAAGAAAGTCGTATTTCTTTTATTAAATCTTTTTTTATTAAATCTTTTATTAAATCTTCATATTTTGTGAATGGTAATTTGATAATCTTGGACGGGATCAGGAATTTTTTTTTTTTTTTTTTTTCTAGCATACATCTAGTATACATGTACACTCTGTGTTTCCATTGTGTCCGGAATTTTGGTAGAATATAGGCCTATTTGTACATGTACCGGTAGGCTACGTGCTTTTCACAAAAGTAATATGGCAAGACGTGAAATGGTGATATGACGCTACATGAATAATATGCTTGATTTTTATAAAAGTGAATGTAAAGTGTTTATAAATAAAAAGCTTTAAATTATGTTTCTGGCGTTTTTTTTTTTTAAATGATCAGCGTTCTTCTTCTTCTGTTTCTTCTTCTTCTTCTTCCTCTTCGTCTTATTTTGTGATATTTGTCGTCATAATGTAGGCCCTACATGTAGGTGATGATGGATGGCGAACCTCTATAAGTAAAATAGTAGTTTATTAAAATTGGAAAAATAAAGCAAATAGGCCTAATGTTAGGGTGTGTAGGCCTATTCGTACGCAAGTGTTCGTGTCTGTGTCGGGGGGGCGGGGGGCATCACGAAAAAATCCTTTTTGACTTAAACAAGAGATATAACTGATTTTACCTCAGTTTATCCCAATCTGGATCCATCTAACTGTACTGGTATGGTTCCAATGTAGTGAGAACTGGGGTTGGATAATCGTGCACTTTGCTTCAAAGATTTACGATCAAAATATGATACAACTGTAATTTACGGGAGCAGATCCAGAAATGTTTTCTGACAGTCTTCCAAATTATCTTTGTTGACCCATCCTCTATTTTTGACCAGAAAAATTACTGTAGATGACTGTCGCATTCACTATTATTATGATTATTGTGTTTGTTGCGTTGAAATAGTCGTCTTGGTTGAAGGTACAGTAAGCATAACGAGGGGAAGTGGTTCGAAACTGTAAACTGCGTACGGCGGCTGACTCCACTTCCGTTGTAAACATCGTGGATGAGAAGATGAAAAGGTCGTGTACTGCTGAAGGGCAAATTGGATGCAGATTATAACTGAAGAGCATGGGAGACGAATTTGAACAGATATTGGACAAACTAGGTGAAGTCTTTGGTGTACCAAAATCATTTTAAAATTGTAAAATATATGTGTGAAGATGTTTTGTTGAATATATAAATGAGACGACCACGTGTTCCTTATATTCACAATCACATCATGTATGTATGTACGGTACAGGTGCAGGTTTGTATTAGATGTTGAAATGTCCTCCAGTGAAATTCACGTTAGTGTACCTTCCTCTGAGGCAAACCGAGTTCATGTAGTTGTCAGTGCCTAAGAAAATATGCACCCAACCTTCTGGGTATTTTGGAAAAGGGGTCATTTAGTTCATTCCAGTACGTGTACTGTACTACTGGCTTTAGTCTGCTACACAGTTATGATCTTCAAAAGATCTTCACCGAGATCTACGGTGTCACTTAACACCAGATGTATGAAATAACACAAAATAACATGCAATCGCACCTTAATGTTGCTTTAAAAATTAAAATAATTTGCTATTTGAATTCTGCATCCCACATTGCATTTGTCTTAGACCCAATACAATATTTATGGTCCAATTAAGATCTGTAACCAGTAGAACAGAAATGTTTTTAATTTGCAGCTGCAACAGCAGTGGGCAGCCATTTTGCAAGATCTGTTAACTCAGAAGCTGCTGGAAATTGTATGCTTCATCCAATACAGTACACATATTGGCCAGCTTTAACCTGTTTTTTAGTTCCAAGTTTCCAGAACATCTAGTTTTTGAGCCACTTTCTCAATGGAGAAAGACACAATGAATTTCACTTGTGATGGTAAAAATTAAAATTTAGAACTTAGACCCCATTCCCAGAGATTAGATCGATCCAACTAGATCGACCTAACTCCCTGGGGGTTCACGCTAAATAGCTGTCAGCCGAGCAGGCACGAAAGTTAATTACACCCTTACAGCTTGTAGTAGGCGGAACGGACATTTAAGCCGGAGTATCTGACAGTAATCTAGTGAGACTCCCCATGGGGATAGAGCGATCTAAAATCTACGGGAATGCACCCTTAAAGACAGGTTTATGATAATCTCAAATGTTTTGGATTGGGTATAAATCACTATATCTTAGTGATAAGTGGGAAATTATTAACATTTCTAGGAAAATGTCTTAGATTTGGGTCTAAAATCTATTGTATGCATTAAATAATTGCCTTAATTGATTTTTCCAGGGCAGTTTAGAGGCTACCAAGTCCTTGTATTTTCTCTACTGCAGTTGAGTGATGTTGTCACAGCATGGACCATGTTACTCCCTATCTTCATCAGTGCCAGACCCCAGTGGTACTGCCCCAATACAGCAGATAACAGTACCAATAACAATACAGTATCAGTGTCTCCACATATAGAAAATGGAACACTGTTTGACAGTATGACATATTCAGATGGTGCTAAAGATTTCATCAACTTTACAATTTTACATGAAATGGTCCAATATAAATCTCAATCCCTTGATAGCAATATGTCACAGTACTATGAGGCTGGAGGCTATATAAAAGGGTTTTGTACCAGTGATGGTGGTATCTGTGAAGGTCATACATATTCTACAGATTTTACATCAGTTATAAGTGAGGTGAGGCTTGATCTTTAAGTACTTCTTTTAATGTTTTGTGCACTGTGTTTGTATCTTGCAAATCTGTAGACTTATCATCATCAAACTTAAAAAAAAAAGATTAAAAGGTACCAAAAAGATGTACAATTCTCTCATTTGTTCCATTGGTTTAATTTCCAATAACATTAAGACTGGTATTTTCTGTAAATCAGTCATAACAGAGTCATATCAACAATAGTTATATTACTGTCCTGAAGCGAAAATTGTAAATTGGTAACAATAATTTTAACTTACATTTACTGAAGTAGTCAAAATTCAAGATCCCAAGTGAATACATTGTGTTTTTTTTTTTTTTTTTTTGTTTTTGTTTTTTTTTCAGTGGAATCTCCTTTGTTCCGAGAAGTACATAGGCACCCTGATCACCACTATACAGATGATAGGGGTGCTGGGTGGTGCAATTGTTATAGGACAGCTGGGGGACACATTTGGTCGCAAGATGATTTATTTTGCCACGATAGCGTTAAACTCTGTGTTTGGCACTGTGATGGCGTTTGCCTCATCATGGCAGCTGTTTGCAGCATGCAGGTTCATGAATGGCTTCTGTATGGGAGGTGAGAGCACTGGGGACATAAGATTTTTTAATGTTTGGCCTTTTTCACATCAAGTGGCATACTTAACTGATCTGGTCTGGACCTGTCTAAAGCCTGGGTCCCAACTACGTTTTGGACGCACGGTTTTTAGGTTCCTTGCGTCCAGCTAAGACGTAGCTAGATAGCACATAGCAGCTGTTGATCATGTCGAAAAGTTACTACGTGCTGTGTGCGTCCTCCAAAAGTCGCACGATGGACGTGCTCCTCATGCACGAACTCCCACATTTTCCCTATTTTTTTTGCCGTAGACCACACGTAGCAGCCCGTACATTTGTTCAGGGTATGATACTATGCAATGCGATCTGATACACACCTTGAAAACGGGTAGTGTGGTCCGATTTACCGGTGAATTCTGGATCATTCGGTGCCGAGTCTGGTAGTTGGGTAGGCCTGATGTACTGTACTAGCAACAATACCCCTGTATTAGCTTGACAGTTTTTTAATGGGGACTGGTCCAGTTAAGCATACTGAGTGAATATTGACATCAGAATCTGCAGTAACTCCACTTGTTTTACTGGATATTATTTACAGAATGTTACTCTGGTATTATATGTAGCATAAGTGTATTTAAAACAGCATGCATGTGCACCTTATGTTAAAGTTACCCCCCCCAGTAGTGTCTTGATGATACTGAAGTATACATAGTATACAGAATAACTAAAATTGGCAATGTATGAATAATAGGAAATCAAGTCTTTTGAAATCCTTGTTTTAAAAAAATAATGTAATTATTTTAGGACTTTTAAACATTAACTACATTTGGCCTATGGAGTTTGTTGGACCAAGATGGCGCACATTTTGTGGATGTGTAGGCTTATTCCAAGTGGGTGGTATGACGTTAGCATTATTAGCCTACTTCATTCGTGATTGGAGGAACCTCTGCCTTGCCACTTCTTTACCACCTCTAGCATTAATGTTTACATGGTGGTAGGTTGCCATCTGCTTGTCTTTTTCATGCTTATAAAATAAAAGTAGAAATATTTAAATGAGAACTGCATTTTATTTGAAAAATTAAAGAACAGTATGTTTGGCAAATACGTATGCTTTTACACAAAGTGGTTTGTTAGAATTATAACTTTATATGCTGAAGCATCTGTGCTTTGTGTAGTCGAGTTTTATTGGAATTTTATAGCAATAAGTTATCATTCTTTGATTTCTTGTTGCAGTGTTATGGGTCTGTTGATTTTGTGTTGCTGGATGGGAGGTTTTTACAGTTGTTTAATTCTTGTTTTAAGGGCCATACCAGAGAGTCCAAGGTGGCTCTCTATGAAAAACAGATTTGCAGAGGCAGAAATTATTTTGACAAAAATGGCCAAGTGGAATAAGAGACCGGTTCCAGATTTTTCCAAACTTAGAACTTTTGCTGAGGTAAACTTTACTATGGACTGTTAAATGTACCTCTAAGTTTTATTGGTGACTGTAAGATTTCATTTCATGTTATTATATGAGTGAAATTATAAGTCTGTTTATATTGATTTAATACTTTTATATTTGGAAAAAAATTGTTACAGATACAAGTAATGTGCATACATATAAGTAATAGTCTTTTAATGTTCAAAACAGTAATTGTAGTATTTGATATTTTACGTTGACAGTGCTGTAATTTTGTTTTTCCACAGACAGAAAAGGCCAAACTGGGGAAGATGAAGAGTTACAGTTACTGGGACTTGTTCAGGACCCCTGCAATGTGTAAAAACATGCTGATTGTCATGTATGCATGGTAAGCATCATGTGAAGTGTTGAGACCACTTAGAATAAAAGAACTTGATTTGATGTGTGGTCTTTTCAAAGTCAGCTAAGAAACTGACACAACTATATTTTGTTTCACAATTAAAGAACTGAAGAGTCTAATTACATGATCTTTTTGGTCATAATAGTAGGATCTTAATTAAAAGCAATCTAAACCCTTAAGCTTCTTATGAAACCAACCCCAGTTCTTCCTGATCAGTGTAATTGTCGTCACAGTTGTTGTTTAAGCAAACCTACCTAGTTGGAATAATAACTGTAGGAATACAATATTATATTGTTGTTGAAAATATATCCATTACATGTAATCAGAGTATACAGCTGAATATGATTGTCTTCAGTTTGAATACATGTTTTTGTCAATACCTTAAGTACATAGCATTATGTGCAGCATGTCATATTTAAAGCTGAATCTGTAGTTATTGATAAACTAATGTAGTGATTTATTAATCATCCATCATTAACCTATAGACCTGATATGTGATTGTTTATTTTAGGTTTGTTTGTGCAGCAGTGTTTTATGGCTTGAACTACAATGTGAAGAACTTAGCAGGGGACCGTTACCTCAACATGTTCCTGGTTTCCTTTATTGACATGCCAGCAGTTTGGTCAACTATATTCTTCAATGCTTGGTAAGGGGGGTGTCATTTTACTGTAGATATATTCCAAATGGGAAGCATGATTAGGCTACTTTATTTTTGATTATTACATATCTTTAATTTTTGTGTGCACTTCCTGTAAGAATGGGCATGTATTCATGTTATATATATATTTGAATTGAATGTGGTCAGTTTTCTATACCAGCAATAATATAATTTTTCACTTTTTGTATTCTTCTATGATGCAGTCGCTTCAGGAACATTATGAATATACTTTTTTTTATGTTGAAAATTGAAATCCAGAATGGCAGCAATATGGATGAGTAAAGTCTCAGTTCACAGCACTTAATAATGTCACAATTCCAGGTGTGGAAGAAGAAAAACATTATTTGTGTCAATGCTAATTGCTGGACTAGCTAATTTTGCTGTACTGTTTGTAGATGTGGCAGGTGAGATGTTAAAATGAATATGAATATTTTCATATTTTTTATAGTAATGCATGCCAGCTTCAGATAAAGTTGTTTAGTGCCCAGTTGTAAAGGGGTAGATTTCTTAATAAATTTACAGTTTATATTTACCAAATCATAATATTATGTCAATTACTTTAAAAAGTAGTGTTTGTTGTATTTGCTATTGTAGGAAAAATGGAAGAACTGTCATTGCTTACAAAAATCTTAGCTTTAATTGGCAAGTTTGGGATCTCTGCCTCATGGAGTGTAGCCTATTTGTATAGTGCAGAATTGTTTCCAACTGTTGTAAGGTATGCTTAATTGCTATTGTAATTAATATCTTTTTTAAAAAGCAACAGTATTAATTGCAGATGTTGAAAGAATTAGTTCACTGCTTTATTAATTTTGCTTATCCCTGTTGTTGGAAAGTTTCTATAAAAAGGCAGTTGTTTGATATTTTCTTTTTCCTGAATTCTGTGATATATTTTAACATGCCTTTGCAGTCATTTAGGCAGAATCGCAAGTAATTTGGTTCTTATGTAATTGAACAAAAAATAATCTTAAATTTCATATTTTATAGGAATTTGGCAATGGGTTTAGCATCTACCACAGGAAGGATAGGCGGGATTATAGCACCTCAGCTGGTCTATATGGTAAGTTGCCATGCAGATTGTTTGAACATGCTATGTATATTTGACATTACTTTTCCAAGTTCATCTTGGTTCACCTTTGGAAATTGAAAAATAAGAAAAAAATCACTTAAACAATAATTTTTCTTTCTAGAATAATTTTTCAAAGCCATTGCCATTCATTATCTTTGGGTGCTTGGGGATTACATCTGCCTTGGCCAATGCCTTTCTGCCAGAGACCAGAGGGAAGCCATTACCAGACTCGGTTCCTCTCTGGAAATGGAAGAAAAGTTCTGCAATAAAAAGTAATCAAGATGAAAGTGAGATGCCTCTCTCTGAAACTGGTTCAATAAGCAATGGTAATTGTCTACTTGTGGAGGGAAATAGGGAAATTAGTGGTTCTGAGGTGTGCCCTTCATTAGTTGAAGAGCAGGAGCCATGTCTTGTGGAACCTTCATGCACCGGTGACCTTGACTCTGAATGGGTGGAACAGTCACATTGAGAAAAATATTTTCTCTAGATGGATTTAGATTTTTTAAATAAATTGTTGAGTTGTTTTTTGTTTCCAATGGCCATGATTTATGAACAAATATTGTATTTTTGTGTTGCATTTGTGTCAAAGACATTTTTTCAGAGATGAATATTTTGAACAGTTGAGGTAGTCACTGTAGGCTGCAGTGTAGTGGTTTTTCCATGCAGGGGTCACAGGACAAAAAAGGAGTTGGAACCAGAGTTGAAGCTGTGCTTCCTTCTTACTGTAATAGTTTGAAATGGAGGGTATTTTTGCTCTTTATGTTTAAGACCACCTGATGGGCAAATGATCTGGTTGAATTCAAAAATGGGCCAAATCTTTTGATGTATTTGAAACATTTTTCGATTAAATATTTACCTGTGTTGCAAGAATACTGTTGCTATATTGTTACCTCTTAAAAATGGATGTTTCCCTTCAAACTTGCTAGAGTCATATGAAGGTCTTATATATATATCATCTTTGAAAATGTCCCTTCGGATTATTATTTTAAAAAAATCATGTTTTTATATGATCTTATTAAGTATATACATGTATCTATTGCAGCCTAATTTATATATTTTTAAATTGTCCTTGTTTACAGAATGGAGGTTGTTGGTTGTTAGCATATTCAGCAGATGCAGGTACTTAACTGTGCATTTTTCAGCTTTAGCTGACCTATATAGAAATGTATTATGACAGAAAAAATTGATATGTTGGTTAACAAGCACCTCTGCTCTAATTTGAGGAAATCTATTTTATTTGCTACTTTTTGTCAAATGAAAAAAAATGCCATGAGTTGGTAAATAGAAAAAATTACATTTAACCCAAGGAGAACCTTAAGGCTGTGGTTTTTACTCTGTTATATCACCCACACTGTGGTTTTTGACATTATGTCCCTCCTTGAAAAACAGGAAAATGACTCATCCTGATATTTAGCTGCTATGCTCATATATGCTGAAATAAAAAAAAATGTTTTGGTACCTTGTTAACCAACATCAGTTTTGTCTTACCTTACCTTAAAAATGCTCAAAGGTTATGTATTAAAAGATGAAGAATGTTATCATATTTATGTTAAGATACATATATTTGTAATATGTGGTGATCTGTGTATAATTTGTTAGATCTCAGCACATTTTATCTCATCTGCCTGACTTTAGTCGCATTGAGAATGTTTCATACCTTACAAACTTCAAAGCATAATTTAGACTGCAAATTATATATTTAGACTGCAAGTCAAACAGAGAAAGAAAGAATCTCACCTGCGATGGTGTGCTCTTGGCTATCTTAAGGTGCAATTAAATATTTCTAAAATTTTGTTTTAAAAGGTTTTGCCTTCATGGGGTGTTCCATAAATTGCCACAGAATAACTAGGCATCAAAAGTTTCGACTTTCACTTTCGCCTGGGGGGAAAAAATCCGGCCCATCGTCAAGTCCACTTCAGCATTTTTGATTTGTGTAAGCACTGTGGTATTTTTTTCTCTTAACTGCACAATACTTTTTGTAAATGAGAATTGGACCTTACAGTGTGTGTCATTTATTGTCAGTGGGAAAAATAAAAACTCAATAAAGAAAATATCCTTATACATATTCTTTGACACGCAAGGGAATTTCATGTCAGCTATTTATGGCACAAGTTTGTTTTTTCAGTTTTCAGTTACATTGGTTGTACACGTGTGAAGCAAATTGCCGGTAGTGTGCTCAAACTTGTATAGTTTCATAGCAACCGTATTTCAAGCTCCCCTAATCACCGAACTTGAGAGACGAGTGGCAAACCTGAATTTCCTCAGATGCATCCGGGTGTTTCACACTGCTGCAAGTGTGAGAAACCACACGCTTGCACACTTGGCTCAAAACGCTTTCGATCATCTCGTGCCCATAAGTGAGTAAAGCTTGGGTAGTGTATAGAACAATACAAATAAAAACCAGCATCGTCGTTCTACTGACAACGTTTATTACAGTATTCGGGGAGACAATAACTTGGGGAAGGGGGGTACTGGAGTGCAACAGCAGCTTTCACATGACTGTTTCTCTTAAAGATAATCATAGAGTAAAAACGACTAGTTATTAGTCACTTTGAAATTATCCTTTTTCAAAATATCAATGGCTTTTGCATATTAAGTTGCAGTTAATTTTAAGACAACGTTTGAGAGACGTATAATATATCTATAAAGCAGTTTTTGGCCAAAATCAAAAACCGTGAACAGTTTTTCTTATTTCATATTAAGTTATTAACACTGCCAAATCTTCAGCCTAATGCTTAGTGTAGAATAGCTCAACGCCACAAAATATTTACGTGGAATCAATTTCTTATTGAAAAACCCACTGTATGAACAGTTTGTTGTTCAGCTGATATTATTTTAATCCCCGCAAAAACATTATCATCTTTGGGAAGGGGAGCCACAACCCTCTTTATGAAGAAAGAAAATATACATGAAATAAAGTAATACACTATGTAAACACAATAACCCTGAAAAAAGTGGCATCTGCCCCATAAGGAATGGAAATAAAAGTTACAAATACTGAAAGTTACATAAAGGCAATATTTGAGCGGAATGTATGGTATGCACCAGAACACCCAATAAATATTATATCAAATACAAAAAACTAAACAACATCAACAAATAAATAAATAATGCCATGCACCATGGATGTTATAATGTTAATACCAAATACGTCCAATCTCTCCATCTGAGAATCAAAACAAAACGAGCAAGTGACAAAAATATAGCTCGCAATGAGATGTAGGCCTAATAACCCGGTTAAACGTAGCTGTCACGGGAGCATGGGACACAGTGAGCAATTTACACAAAAATAGTTTCCATCTTTTTCTTAGAAACAGTATTATAATCTTAAACCCACTGTCTACCTATTCCCACCGGTGGTGAACGCATAGTTAAGAGATATATCAAAGAAAAGAGATAAAGAAGTCTAATTTGACTTGGCACCGTCATCAGTGTAACTCCGGCCTGCTCGGCTGCACTCAGTGCACTGGCGCTTCAATAAATAAGTTGAATAACTTACAACAATAACAACAACAACAACAACTGTTTCACAGTACTGAATAAACACAAGAAAAAGATTACTTTAAATATTGATACCTATATATCTACTTTGTAAAGGATTTTCACCACCTTATATTAGGAACGTTTCTTTGTCGTTCACACAATATCATATTTAGCTGGTGCTTTTTTCTTTTACTTTTTTGCATCTTCGAGCAAATGCTACTGACTTAAAACGTAGTTATTGCACCAATGTTCAATTATTCGTACGAAATTAACATGCAAATATATATATTTATATGTGTATATGTATATATATAAAAGTAGACAGTTCGGCTTAATTATCTGCAAAAAAATAATATCTTGATTGTTCTGTGCTTTACCTTTCATATATCCACCACCCAGTCTTGAGACATCACGCGTATGTCGCGAAAATAAAAAGAGCACCATATTTTGCTGACTAAATAAACGAGCAAACAAGGTTACATCAGGGAGCAGTCTTGCATCCACGAACCACAAGTGTGCGCCTACAACGTATAATCTACCTATAGAAACTTGCCTATGCTTTTCCACCTCAACGCCTTTACTTTCTGATAGAACATTCAAATGACTTCGCCAATCACTTTGATAATTTCACATATAAACCTTCATCATATTCACTGTTACAACGAGCACTAGGTCTAGTTGAATATTATGGAATGACGTCATGTTTTCTGCTTGTGTTTCCGTGAACTTGAAAGCACTTGTTTGGAATTGCCTGTCAGCCAGCTTCTAGCTGGCTGGGGTAAAACGCCATCTCAGTTTTGTTGCAATAACAATTGCTCAAGTTCATCTGCAGAACGATACAAGAAGGCGGCAGATTCCCTGTAGCCGGCTATCAGTGACTTGATAGTTGCCACTTCACTTGGATTCAGCTGACTTTTTCGAGAACTTCCCTTCTTCATGCTAAGGTCTGTTGGTCCTAAAAAAAAAAGAAAGAGATTAAATCAGGTAGAAAAATAAGATATAACAGCTAGAGTTCCCAACAGACACGAAAATAATTAACCTCTATTGACCCTTATCACTGCTTTAGCATTTAATCAAACCATCTGAAATATTGAATTGTCTCCAATGTTCAAGTAAGCCTGATATTACGCTCTCGTAGGTAACAGAACGTGAGCATAAAACCTCAACATGACTTCAACAGAAACAAGTTCAAGTGCACGGACGTTTGTAACTTTGAAAACGAAACGCCATCTACTCTTGAAGATTGGAATAAAGAGAATACAGAAAATGACTCTTACCCTTACCGTTTTGCACCGAGTTGGCAAGTTGTGGGTGTTGGATAACGGGCGGATGGTGGTGGGCGGGGTGTTGGTAGGCAGGGGGGAACGCTGGGCGAAACAGGCCATTGCCATTGGCGAAAAACGGCTGAGGAAGTTCGTGAGGTGGTCTAAATCCTGCCAGCGGCGAGTGGCGGAGAAAGTCGGCTGTGCTGAGCTGAGGTTGTCGCTCTAATTGTGGTGGCTGTGGCTGGGGAGGCGGTGGCGGCTGTGGTGTGGTCACTGTTGCTTGAGGTGCTGATACGGGGGGCTGCAGAGCATTCATTGCGCTAGCCTAAGAGAGACAAAGAGAAAAATGGTTAGATGCATTTATAAGGAATTATTTATATATGCAAAGAGGTAAGGCAGAATCCTTCTCCGGTTTAAGGATTTTTCGATATACTTTTTACACAAAGCGAAAAAAATGCAATACACAAATTGCTGGCTATCTAATATATTCAACTACTACGATTACAAGACTGATAAAAACAAAAACATATCTATCTGTCCATCTATCTATCTATCTATCTATCTATTGGAAGGATAGTTACCGGTAGCGGTTCCAGTCCCATCCTCATTCTCTTAGCATTATTGCTCTCATTTTCACAGGCCTGGGCCAGGAGGCTCTCAGCGGCGGCGGAGGTCAAGTGTGGCGGTGTCGGGCGCAGCTATGATGAAAAGGTCATGCAATTTATAGCACAGCATGGAATACATGGACTCGTTCAAATGTAACATACAAAGCTGACTAGGCTGTTCTCTATTTAAAATTTAATGTTGAATAATTTTTTACACGCATGCATACTGAATACTGACGCTATTGACATAATATTATATACAAGTTTGCGAGTGGTTTCTATATCTGTTCGATGTAATTGGACACGTACCGGTTCCCAACCGTTTTCCTTGGAACGCCGCATCCGTCTGCAGGATTTGAGGTAGGTTCTGACGCGCTTGCGAGACCGCTCGTGGAATTCTGGGAACTGGCGGTCGCAAGCCTCCAAAATAGCCTGAATTTTGTCCTTAGGTTGTTTGGATATAGGCACCATTCGGTCAAGATTTTCATCCACAAAAAGGCGAACAAACATCTGAAAAGATAGAGAGCAATTTGAAAAAATGTTGGTCCCTTGGAAGTTAATGTCACTTCTTGTACTTTGGTGATCATATTTATAAATCTACGAGTGAAAAATCTATATCAGTTTGTTTGGAAGACGCATTCATTTAGTGTTTGTTTAAGAAGTTATCCAAATGCAAATAAAAAATAAATATTTATGAGGAAGCACACTGGATCGAAGCAATTTTTCTTACATTGAAGGATTTGAGTCTCTCTGGGTCTATATCTGGTGCTGGTCTTTCATCGTCGTCGTTATCATCATCGTCGTCGTCATCTTTTGACCCCGACATATCCTCCGCTCCCTCCATCTCTGCTATCCGAGACGAACTCTGAAAATGTCGTAAGATATTTTGTTTGTTATAGGAGAATAAGGTATAAATTGTGAGAATTGATATGTACAATAGGCCAGCAATATCTTATCTGTCACAATAAATAAATAAATATTATTTTAAAAAATGGTAGTGAAATCTCATATTTACTCAGAAAACAAACCAAAAAAAAATACAAACAAACAAACAAATAAATAAACGATATTTTAAAAAATGGTTGTGAAATCCCATGCTTACTAGGAAAACAAATAAATAAATAAACAAACAAACAACTGAACAATATTTTAAAACGGTTGTGAAATCTCATATTTACGCAATAAAAACTATGCCTAAATTAAGTCAAGCACGATGCGGGTTATATTAGGTGTAATGCATTTCTTTAACAACTGTATCACTGATGAAATTCTTACTATATATTAAACTTAAAAATACAGCGTTTTAAATAAGGTATGGGTAGGTTGTAACAATGTTTTATACCGGTCATTCATCTAATATGAGTTCGAGTTATAGGCTACTGGGCCTACCCGTTACACTCAAACTGCGTCGTCTTCGAATAAGAGTCTTGATCAATTGGGTTCTAAAACTTACATCTAGGCTAATTTCATCACTGGCACGCCTTTTCCTCTCCGGGTGTGCTTTCTCTTCTGTTTTCACGCTTCCGTTGGATGCGGATTTGTTAGTCATGTTTAGAGGTTGTTCGTCGGTTTCTGCGCTCGCCGTGGCTGCGCTGACATGGGCTGCAGAAGGCATACTCGTGCTTAAAACAGGGCTTGCTGCGCGACTGTTTTTTGAAGATTCCACTCCTGTAAAATCAATACATTTCTTTCTCAATTTTGTTGAAGTTCAGCTGTCAACAGTTAAAAAATATCTGCATTGGCGGATCCAATGATGATAGGTGTGTCCAAAGCACCCTTTTCCCAAAAATAAAAAGGGGGAGGACTTTAAACACTTCCATTCCCCAAAACACAAAAAGAAATTAATTCACTTAGATACGTTTTAATGCAAAAAGACCCAATTTGCAGTTAGGGAGGGATGCCACGGTTCATTGACTCAAAAATCCAGTCTGAAACCTACCTGGAGAACCTACCTAAAGAGAATTTCTGTTTTAGCAATGGCGTACTTACAGTGCACGGCGTACCCGATGGGTATGCTGCGCGTCTGTAACGTTCGTAACGTCTCGTGCTTACACTGCACTGTCACAGTCGCACGTGTCGCGAGCGTCATTGTTTTTGCTCGTGACAAAGTGTGACGCCACTCTCCGAGAAGTAAACACTCATGACGTCCTGTGTTATGACAGTGTTTAGTTCTACATATGGTATCAAAGATGTTGTTTGATTACATTAAAATTTTAACAGAATTATAGATCTCTAGACATATTTACCTTGCTTGATTTCTGAAGGCCTTGGACTTGGCGAGTCTTCAATGGCCGGGGACTGGCTTCGACTCATGTCACTATCGCCACTGGTCATGCTGTCCTGCAATAAAAATAAAACATGAAAACAGAGGTCCTAGCCATTAAAACACATTTCCAAGCAACATCACACTGTTCTTGTGACCCTTGTCTTTGCTGTTGATCGAAATGCACCAACTTCCAAGGGCGTCTTAAATTCTATACGCTGCTGTAAGTCTTTCGCACCGAAAAAAGAGGGAAACTTGACATTTCGTGACACACCGCAATAGAATGTCTTTAACAGAGATTTGAAAAGAAATCATCCAGAATAATTTGTGGTTTATGTGATATCTTACAAAAAAAAAAAGAACAGGGGCACGCATCGGTAGCTGTTATTTTAGGTTATTGGACCTTCCTTGTTCTTGTTCCTTATCAATAATTGAGAGACTAAAAAAGAAAGAGCGTGAAGGATTCAGAATAGTGTTGTCATATTGGGCATAAATATTTACCTAACTCCGTCATGTATTTTCAGTGCAATTTGTAAATATAGCAGTCAATAATCTTCAGTTGGGAATATTTCACAAGGTATCAAGGTTAACGCAGTTATCATTTATGCATGACCCAGTTATCTGTATGGCCATCATATCTGATAACGAAGATGACGCAGGTATACTGAGCAAAAAAAATCTTGCCAATGGTAAAGGATAGATCTGTTGACCCACTTTCTGTCAAATACATGCACTATCTTGAATGAGAATCGAAAGAAGTCATGTCTATCTCATAAACTGATAATAGAGCAAATAAAACTTCGATTGTCTTATTCGGCAAAGCGCGAACACAAGAAAATCATCAGGAAGATGTTCAAAGTCAATTTTGGACACACGACAATATCACGCTTGACAATATACCACAACTCTTCCTTATCTTCCCAATGTGGCAACAGTCGCACGAACGCCAGCAATAATATCACTGTATTCAGGTCTTAACTCTAATATCTAGCGCACTGAAATCGTTAAGCAGAGTGTCGCCACTGATTTTGGTGGTAAATATAGACCTTTCCAGCGTCAGGCAAAAATCGATGCTTAGCACTAGGAACACAAAGCACAAACATTTGTCAACAGTCCCTCTATGTTACATATGTAGCTCGGCACTTTTTGTTCAAAGAACCAAGCAGTAGGTCCTTTAAAGACAGCCATTAAGACTCGCGAGGGATGACGCATTGCCTTCTCAATGCAAACTGATTTGGAAAAAGCAAAAGATCAAAAATGTGTGCGGAGAATAATTACCCAAGATGATGCCATACAAATCATACCAAGCGCCTTTGTTTAAAACACGACATGCGATTGACGAAGAGTTTGCTGCATTAATGGGAACCAGGGGGGAGAGAAGGCGGACATTCGTCCATTAATGATTGAAGACAAAGGTGTAATCTAACCGGATTTTGGCGTCGTAGAAAGTGTTTACTTTTTTATTCTGTGTGCAAGCGCAATGTTTTGACCAAATCATGGTTAAATGAGTGCCCGAAAACGTTTTTACTTTATGTCAACCTTAACAGTTGACCATGCCTCCAAAAAGTGCCAACAACATACCTACAAATGTTTCCAGTTCATTCTGCCAAACATGATTTCATATTGTTCTTTAACACCAAAATTATTTTTGCCAGGCCCATTTCATCAGAACACTCATCTTTCCTATGATTGTTTCGGGGGGGAAAAGAATCGTGTTATATGACCAATGCTGGGGGAGTCTTAAACAGACTTGGCTCCAAAATGGACGCTCTGTGGTGATGTTCTCGCACTGTCACGTTATCTGTATAGTGTCGTCTTACTAGTTTAACAGAAAACTAAACAGCAAACAGGAAGATATCTACGTGTACAGCATTTGATATCCACAGTAAGACCTGAGTTATTCTGGTGAAACCGTGCTCAAAATCTTACAAATTAATAACCCCGAAGAAAATGAACATCAAGAACTGCCCCTGTGATGTGTAAACCATATCATGCATTCACAACTTCTGCCCGGGAACGAAGTTACAAAATGGATAAAATAATATTGAGACGCAACCTTTGTTCAAAGGGGAAATTCATTCCCCTGAGGGTTTTGAATAGGAACAAGTTCACTAAAATATTCGAAGAAAAAGGCCCCTCCTACCTAGAACCTACGGGGTTGCCTGAAGTCCACACTTTCTTTCCATAAAAACTTCATCGTTTTTTTTTTTTTTTTTTTTTTTTTTTATTCTTCGATGGTACATGTTTCCTTAAACTGTGAGACAAGAATTGAGTAGGCCTATACAAGACTTAACAACCATTTAAAACATCTCAATCAAGATATACATATAAGAACTATCAAGACATTAAGGAACATTTTGATATTTACAGGCAATCAAAATATCTTAAACTCTTTATTGATATCCTCATTTCTAAATGATAGCAGAAAGAAATGCACCTATCTAGTGAATACACAACTCGAGCATACATGTGGCATTTCTTAGTAGAATGAAAACATGGTGGGTTGTCGCACCTGTGGTTTTTGTCTTTATTAGGTGTGATTAAACAATAGGATTTTTTCATGATACCAATAAACAGGATTGCAATTTTCTCCTCTTTACGTCAAACGTCGCAAAAACTATTTAGATAAAGGTGTATTACCGTTACAATATGATTACCTTAAACTGATGCACTACATTGTGTGGGAAGAATGTGCAGCGATAATTATAAATACATCATTAAAGGTACATCATAAAAATTGGAGTCACAAGTAAGTAAAAGGAAGGACAGTGATTAATTCATATACGCATTCCGCATGTTGGAATATCGATTGTAGTCAAAGAACACTAAAAATCCTATTTGCCAAAATGATAAACACGCTGGACAACATCAGAACAATGGCGAAGCGATGGGCGATCATTTCAGCCTAAGATAAACCGCACTGCTCTTTCTTTCCGGAACATTTACAAAATATTACAAAGACGTTAAATCGTCCCAAACGGGCTCTTAAATTACCGAAATGACCATATTTGGTACAGAAGAGCCCTTTATAAAGATATTATGAGTCATTATGATTCACCTCGAATTAACCATCACACAGTTTTGTCATTTAGAAATCTCTTTTCTCTTTCCCCTTGTAGACAATATTACCTGCTTGTCTCGATAACAGATCGTTCTTCTCGGCTGTCCTGGGAACATGTTCTAACGGGAGAGCCATAAATACGGGGAAAAGCCTTACCTCAACAGCGCAAAAGGGCGGACGCAGTCGAGTCTTAAGACACTCGATATGGCCTTATAACCATACCGCTATCTAGAATAAACACCAGCCTCTAGGATTTCTAAGCATCCCTCCACTGCGCTATTAAAGCAGGAACAGATTACCAGGAAAGGTATGACCTGAAGACTAAGCTTAAATACACAAGATAAAGCGTAGACGCCACAATGCACCTGCATTAATCGATTAAGGTGCACCTTTCCGCCCATCATGTGTTACCTAGAAACAGATGGAGAATACGTCGCTTTATCTGGCCATCAAAACCAAAGAGGTGCATTGAACCAGATGACTCTTAGGGAGAAGGAGAGGAAATAATATATATATCTGTTTTTTTTCTAAACGGAAAAGTTTGACCACCGTGGGTTTTGACCACGGTGTGTTCGTCAAATAATTTATATCATTGCACTGCAACTCCAGATGTGTTAAAAGTAAAAGGGAAAAATACGGATATATTCCTTTAAATATCAAATGCATGAAACGGACTTGAATTAGAAAAATGATTTAAGCTATAATCCTATTGTATCAGGGTCAATATATTTGATGGGCATTACTATTAGGGGCTAACTAGGTTCCAACGATTGACATAAAATGAAATCAACGCATAGAACACCAATTTGAGAACACTAATTTGGGAAAGCTACATTCCTGACTTTCTCACAATTGTCTATTTT